GGGACAGCGAGCACAGCACCAATCAGATCCTGTGAAGGCACCAGATAGCGAAGCCAACTTGGCCATTTTTGGCTGGGGAGGGGGGGGGAGCCCAGCAGCAAAGCAAACTGTTCACCTAATTCGCAAAGCTATAAATAAGTAAGCAAGCAAGTTGGCTGGGCCAGGAAAAAATGACCTTGCCCTCTGCTTTTGCTTTTGGCTAAGCAGCCCGCAAACCTTGACGCAAGACTGGCCCTGCAGCCATATCAGTTGAATTGCCCCCTGCAGCTACCTAGGGTGGTGCAATAAAGAATAGCTAAAACTTGCACGTCTATCACAGGTGCTTCCAGGAAGCCTGCAAATACAACATGAAATTACTGCCAGCACTCTTGCTTGCCAGTCTACATGATAACAGGTATTCGGAACAAGCTCTCGCTGAACCTGAACATTGCATCAAACCTTCACTGCAGAAGGGAGAGTTTCAGGAAGTTTTGCTTGCCAATTCAGAGTTCTTCTGGGGCAAGAAGAGCTGCACCGGCTGAAATTCTCTCTTCTGCTCAGCCATTAAAGGCACAAGGGCCCAATCTTCTCTTGCTTTTGATGACGTTAGTTACTTAACTTGGTGTGCTCCTTAACTCTCATATCTATGCATGTATTCACAATAACAGATTGCTGCTGGAACTGCTGTGCTGTCCTGCTGCTCTAAGTCTTTTGCTTGGCCAGTGGCAGTTTGGTGTACGATGGTTGCATGACCCAGCAGCAGTTGCATGCTGTTTTCCTTGGACTGCTTAAATAGTTCAGGAGTAGTATATAACTCCTGTTCTGCTGGGAAGAAATAGCTGTGCGATTCCCTGCTGTCATGCCATCACCCAGTACCTATTGCGGGGCAATGGAAGATCGTACCTGGGATCGAAACAGGGAGAGAGAACAATAATGTGCTCCTCACTGAAGCAGGGTGGATAAAAATCTGTTAAAAATTACAATGATCAGATTTTAAAAAAACTAAACCTGAGAGGTTTAAACCCCACCCCACCCCAGTTTAAAGGTGGCATTTAACCCAGTTGTATTAACAGTGCAATCATATTCATTGCACTGGGAGAGGCTGCCAATACCATATAACACCGGTCCTGAAAGACCTACATTGGCTCCCAGTATGTTTCCGAGCACAATTCAAAGTGTTGGTGCTGACTTTTAAAGCCCTAAATGGCCTCGGCCCACTATACCTGAAGGCGCATCTCCACCCCCATCATTCAGCCCGGAAACTATGGTCCAGCGCTGAGGGCCTTCTGGTGGTTCCCTCCCTGTGAGAAGTGAGGTTACAGGGAACCAGGCAGAGAGCCTTCTCGGTAGTGGCGCCCGCCCTGTGGAATGCCCTCCCAACAGATGTCAAGGAAATAAACAACTATCTGACGTTTCAAAGACACCTGAAGGCAGCCCTGTTTAGGGAAGTTTTGAATGTTTGATGTTTTATCATGTTTTTAATATTCTGTTGGGAGCTGCCCAGAGTGGCTGGGGAAACCCAGCCAGATGTGCGTGGTATAAATAATTTTGTTGTTGCTGCTGTTTGTATGTTTGTTTGCTTGTTGTTATTCACTCAGACATATGTACCACTGAATTGAGCTGGGCTTTCTCCCAGGTCGGTGGCTATAGGATTGCAGCCTGAAAATCTCTTTGCGATAACGACCTCATTTAAAATCAAATCTGACTTTAACATAAACCAGCGTGGGGGCAGAGAACAGAGGGATGGGCTAGAGCGGAACAGTGAATCCGCGGTCTGCTGTCCTACTGGCTTGTGCTGGTCAGGACAGTCTATGCCAGCTCCAGGCTGGTGGTAGCGGTCCTGAAGATCAGGCCCCTCAGGGGTATTCCCATGGCTTTAGATTTCTTGGATCCCCACCCTGAAAGGCACATTGGGGCCTTCTGCTGGCTACTGCTTTCCTTCCATCTGGGTGGTACTGACATCACCACCACAGGGGAGGTCAGCGGAGAGGCAGCTATGCGCCGTCCAGCCCCAGCCACATCAACATGGAGGGCGTGCATGCATGCGTGCTAGAATTGCACCGCAAGTCTGCCTTTAAAAACCAAACCCATGTGTACGATGGCCAGATGCATTGTTCAGAAGAGGGGAGCTTCAGCAGTTGTAACATACATGACAGCTATTAAAGGTGAAGGAATCCTATCAGCTTTTGCATCTGGCCGCCCTAGAGACAGGTAAACAGAAATCCATTCATTTTCACCATTGCTCATATTGTCTCTAATCAATCAATCAATCAGTCCAAAGGTGTTTGTTTATGTGCCTAGATTGTATAAAGGTTTTATTCTGTGTTAAACCAATTCATTTTTATTATCATGGTAGTCGTATAGTAATTATTATGGTAATATACATAGCCTTGTTCAGGTAGTATAACTTGCACAATAGAAAAAAAAATTGTTTTAAATCAGTTGTTCAAATTGATACATTTTTCTTGGTAATTACAGCATGGATCAAAATCACATTTATTTAACTCATCCACCCTGCGCTGATACGGTAGTGCAAACAGCGCAGTATTAAAGTGTTTTGCTGTGGGACTTATTTCTTGAGGACTATCGCTTGAAAAGTTAGTTGTAAACGCGCCTCAATAATAAGGGTGTTTAAAAGTGGTAAAAGTACATTTTTCTATCCTTTTAGTAGATGGTTAACAAGCAGTGGAGGTTGGTTTTGGTCCTTGCTAGTGAATTCAAAGTAACCAGGGTGCAGCAGTGAATTAAAAAGAGCCTACAACGTTCTTTTGCATTGCCCCTGCTGTCCTTGCATGTGGGTTTCCCCTCCGCTCTGACTTTGCTGATGCTCCTCTGTCTGTTCCTTTCCGATCCCAGCTTAGGCCTCTCTCGAGCGTTTAGCAGGCCTGCTGGATAGCATAGCAGTTTTGCAATATGAATACCCCACCCAGAATTGTCCCAGTGGGCAGGGCAGACTCGGTGACTTCAGCAGCACTTAGCAAATGAATGATGGGAACGGAGCGTCTCCATGCGCGGCCAAACACATGTGCATCTTGTCTAGCCCCACACATGCCCCGGAGCAGAGAAATGACTTTGAATGCTCAACAACCCAGTATTTTAGACTCCTTCCCCTCCTCCTGCAGTCACAAGACCTTGACAGCGGCCTGAGGAACGGGTAATGTTCTGAGACGCCACAAGGATCTCTGCGAAGAGAGTTGAGCCGCTGTGGCTTGCTCTGGGAAGCAAGCTCGGAAAGATAGAAGAAATAATACTTCGTTGCTCCTCACGCGTGGAAAAAGGAAATGAAATATGGAAGGATATGGATAAGGTTGCCAAGGTATATATACCAGACCCTGCTTTTGTATCATTAACAGCAGCTTGATCTGCAGACATTGGCAGGTTCTAATGTTTATCACCGTCCTGTAAAAAGAAGCAGCTGCTTATTTCTGCAGAACACACTTCTGCTAAAGGTGCAGCGAACAGGCCAAGCCAGTTTTTTTTTTCCTGGCCAGTTGGCAACTTTAGTCTTCTAGGGACTTTCCAAATTATTTTTTTAAAAGATTTTATTCAAAAGGCATAAGGGCATATCTTCATTCCAAACATACCTCGGTTTCCATGCAACTTTATCTTAGCTTTCCCTAAAGGATCCTGGAAATTGTTGTTTGGCGGTGTTCTGAGAATATTGTTGTCCGTAACCCTATTTCATAGAAGTACAATTCCTAGGATTGACTGGCAAGAGGAAATGAGTGTTGAATTCACTTGTATGAACCCCAGTTTACTGCCAAAAGCATCATAACGCATTCTTTTTTTTTTAAGGGGCTGGAACAGGGTAGCAGAAGAGCTTTTTTTTTTTTAAGAAAAGATCAAAATGGTATGGGCAGGAGGGGAGATGTGGCTTATGCTGAATTTTGTAAATGGGACATTCAGATACTGTAAGCAATTTAAAAAATAAACTTTATCAGTGTTTTCCTCAAAGGGGTAAATCTGGATTAAATGGGGGGAATGCAGGCTGGCATTTTGATGTCAATGATGTGTGGTTGCTGTGAAAAATTTGCTTGCCTGAGGAGTACCCATCTCACAATAAAAACCCACCTGGAAGCACCTTTGGTATCAGGGAATAATGCTGTCCATAGCAATCACCATTAAGAATGGACGTGCTAACTAAAATAAGTATTAGATTTTTGGAGCAATAGTAATAAAAACAAATTGTTGTTCAGGGTACTGAGAAAGTCTTTTGTTAGTTAAAGAAAAGGATTGTCTACAAACCCCCCCGAGATGAGAATGTTCCAACTAAATTTGCTTGTTGACTGGCGTGATTGTGACATCAAAGGTGGCTTGGCCAATGGTAGAGAGGCAGCTTCCCCTTCCTTTTTGTGCTCTCTTCTCTGATGGTGGCAGTGTTGGGGGGCTTTTGTTGCATTCAGGGGTTAAGATCCATTGGGAGGGTGGAACTTCTGATCATCCTGGATGAGGAAACCTCCTTACTTCTCCCCATCAGGGGACTGAAGGCAATTGATCAGGGACCTCTTTTGGCCAGGAAGGGTGGTATGAGGGAGAAGGACTCAAAGCTCCCTGAAGCAAACTTGGCATAGGTCGCCCTGGTCTCACAAATGCATGTCGGTTGGTTGATTTTAAAGTAGGGGTGGAAGAAGAGAGGAAATGATGGTTATCTTTGTCCCAAAAGCTTCTTTATCTGATGCTGTCCAAGACTGGCTGCACCTCAGAGAGCTTATGCAAAAAGGAGACAATTGAGCCTTCTGTCTTCTACCAACTCCCTCTCTCTGCAAGGCATTCTGCACATGTATCTCACAGTTGCAGCTCACTTTTTTAATATACCCTAGAAAGTTTAGGAGGAAGTGAAAGAAAGAGCCGAGTGGGGGCGATTTGGGTTTCCACGTTGCTACTTCCATGCCCTTGGAAGTCTAGTCCTATTAGCAAGTTTCCTATATGCTGCCCTAAATCTTTTTGACCTTTCCCTGTAATTCATCTGCACCTTCCCGCAGTCCCAGACCCTCATTTTGTTCTCTTCCTTTGCCCTGCAGCCTTATGTCTCAGTGGCCCAGCAGATGGCACCCCCAAGTCCCAGTGGCAGCAGCAACAACAACAGCAGCAGCAGCAGCAGCGGGCCAGGCGGCGGAGGCGGCGGAGGGGACCAGCTGAGCAAAACAAATCTCTACATCCGGGGCTTGCACCCGGGTACCACAGACCAGGACCTTGTCAAGCTGTGCCAACCGTAAGTTACTGGGACGAAGAGACCCGGGAGGGCGGTGTCATGCTGTAAACGGCAGCTGAAAAGAACCGGGTCAATAATTTATTGCCCTCCCAACCATCTCCATGGCAACCCCTCCCCACCCCGAGTGAAAACCCCAGTCTTAGAGAAGATGCTTTCATCAGCCCCTCTAAGGTCAGGGTTCTCAAATGGAGGCATTAGCATTTAAGCCGCCCAAAACATATTCCCTGCAAGACAGACATCGGCAGTAAACGGCTTTCAGAGATTCCTCCTATGCTTACAAGGGGTGGGGGCTACTAAGTTAGATCCAGCGGGACCTCATGGGCCAACAGGAGGGATTTTAGGAGAAGCAACAACAACAAGAGATCCAGTAATATCGCTGCAACTGACAGCATGCTGGATAGCTCAGCTGGTTAGAGCGTGGTGCTGATAACGCCAGGATTGCAGGTTCAGTCCCCGTATGAGACAGCTGCATCTTCCTGCATTTCAGGGGATCGGACTAGACCATCCTCAGGGTCCCTTCCAGTTCTTCAATTCTATGATTCTGTGTGGATTAGGAGGAGAAAGGATCGAGACTTAGGGGTTGGGGGTTGGTTGTGGCCAAAGGAGGTTGCTATAGGGAAATCCGCTAAATCAGTAAGGAAGCCTTAGTTGCAGTAGGTCAGGGCAGGCCAGATCCAGGTCATGCTTGCTTATTAGAGCAAACAAAGAATTAGAGCAATTCTGCTGCTGCCTACAGATCTCCTGTTGCCTTTTTGTGTGTGTGTTCTCTTCTGGTTTATTTTCCCTCTTGACTCTCTACACCTTTGCCTCGCCTCCCCCTACCAACTAAACTGGAGCCAAGTCATCAGTGGATAGGTTGGCTGGCACTTTGCCTCCTGGCCCATTGAAGGCGCTCCATGTGGAGAGGTCATGGGGCTAGAAGAAGCACAAACTGCTTTCGGCCGTGCCGTTTGCACCTTTCCAATGAGGCCCAGTCCTTAAATGCGAGGATGGCAAACAGGCAGCACGGAATCTGTATCCTCACCTCCAATCCAGGTTTTACAGGCCCCACCAACCCATCGTGAAGGGGAGCACTTCCATGCACAACAAGCTATTTTAACTATAATTATATATTTATCTAGGACGCGGGTGGTGAGGTGGTCTAAACCATTGAGCCTAGGGCTTGCCGATCAGAAGGTCGGCAGTTTGAATCCACACGACTGGGTGAGCTCCCGTTGTTCGGTCCCTGCTCCTGCCCACCTTGCAGTTCGAAAGCTCGTCAAGTGCAAGTAGATAAATAGGTACCGCTCTGGCGGGAAGGTAAACAGCGTTTCCATGCGCTGCTCTGGTATGCCAGAAGCAGCTTAGTCATGCTGGCCACATGACCCGGAAGCTGTACGCCGGCTCCCTCGGCCAATAAAGCGAGATGAGCGCCGCAACCCCAGAGTCGGTCACAACTGGACCTAACAGTCAGGGGTCCCTTTACCTTTATAACAAAGCCACTCCCTTGCCCCCGACACCCCAAAATCAGTTTTACTGTGGAAAGGAAAATGCCAGGATAACGCACTGGAAAGTGCACTATAGCAATTACTTGATGCAGTGTCACATAACCTCCCAGCAAACTCTATGCAAGCAAATCAGGATGAATGCTCAATAAGCAGGTTGTCTGGAAGCAACCCATATTTGATCCCCTGCAACCCTTGTGGCATAACATGCCTCCTGGTGAGCGCACCTCCTTGCCCCCGCGATTGAGGGAGCCGGGGCTGTGTGACGTCAGCAGGCTGCATGCAGATGCTGCAGTGAGAGGGTTGCACTCAAGATGTCAGCACGCCCCGCTGATGTGTTGTACACATGCCCCGTGGTTTGCGGCGTGACACAAGCACACCTCTTGGAGTGTGCACATGGCTGCCAGGGAATTTTGAGGGGGGCCGGTCCCTTCCTTGAAATGTTTTTCAGGGCCCTGCCAGATGGGATGCCTGCCTGCCTTCCAGTGGTGACCTTCGGGCAATCTTGTTACCCATCACCAATGCTCCAAGGACATAAGGGTAAAGGGGCCCCTTACCATTAGGTCCAGTCGTGACCAACTCTGGGGTTGCGGTGCTCATCTCGCTTTATTGGCAAAGGGAGCCAGTGTACAGCTTCCCGGTCATGTGGCCAGCATGATGAAGCCGCTTCTGGCAAACCAGAGCAGCGCACGGAAACACCGTTTACCTTCCCGCTGGAGCGGTACCTATTTATCTACTTGCACTTTGATGTGCTTTCGAATGGCTAGGTTGGCCGGAGCAGGGACCGAGCAACGGGAGCTCACCCCGTTACGGGGATTCGAACCACCAACCTTCTGATTGGCAAGTCCTAGGCTCTGTGGTTTAACGCACAGTGCCACCTGCATCCCTTCCAAGGACATAAATAAGCCCAATTACAGCTACAGCAGTTCCAATGGTTCCAGCTTTGCCATCCTGTTTAGGGGGCTCTTGTGGACCTCAGCAGTAGTCTGTCTAATACCCTAACTCTGAATGGCAAGAAATGTCATTTCTTTGGCTTATCCCTGATCTCATGAGTGGCCATGTGAAGATAGCTGTACCCCAAGTAGAGATTATTGCAAGGGATTTTGGGAGGCGGTGGCAATTAGGGGGCCTACTAGTGTGCGCATTCACCCAGAGAGTACTGCAGTTATGTATTGACATAGAGACGCCTGTGTATTTATGTTCTCTGCCATAGCTTGCCCGATCCCACTTCTCCTTGCCTGGAGAAGACTGAAATAGGCTAGAGTGCTTAAAGCTAAGTGGCTAGGAGGGGCGGGCAGGGGGCTGTTCCTCTCTTACCTCAGCTCACCCCAGCCTGGAATGCTGGATCTGGCCCCAAAGCCACACTTGACAAACACGCCTCCTTCAAAACCAGGAATCTGCCCGGGCTGAGTGTGAGGGAAGGGATCTCTGCAAGCTGCTTGTGAGCAGGGGGCGGGGAGGAGATGGGGAAGGGAATGGGGCCTAGAAGTCGAACGCTGGTAGTGGCTTGGAGCTGAGGATTGTGGGTTGCATTCCTGGTTTTGCCACTGCCTTGCATCACTTGCGTGCCGTGCCCCTGCCGCCTCTCGGTTCCCACATCTGCAGAGCAGCAGCCTCCGCCGCCACTGCCCTCCCCAAGCCTGAGATCTCATCGCTGCAACCACAGCATTCATCCTGCTCTTGAAACCCTGCAGCTGGATTCCCCTGTGTGCTGGCTGGGAGGTGCCAGAACTTGGCTGTTCTTGGCGCCGGTCGGATTTCCTGGGCTTGTCCTTTCCTGGGCAGGAAATCCTGCTCAGGGTGAGCAGGAAGCATTGGTGGGGGGGGCGGTTTGGGGTTGGAGGGGGCAGCTGGGATGGACTCTGAAGGGTTCATTGTTGGGGGGAGGGGAAGGAGTGTCGGACTCCGTCGCCTGTTTTGAGAAAGGCTGACCGGTTATTGGCAGCTGCGTTCACACCGGGTTTTTGCAATAGGTTGGAGATGTTTAAGGGCTGCAATCCTGTATACATGAAGCTGGGAGTAGCACTTTCTAAATAAGCGCTTTGTGTCTGTATGGCAGCGACCCAGGGAGAATCTCCTGCTGAAGTCAGTGGGAATTACTTCTCAATAGCCATGCCTAAGATTGGAGGGCACCCTCACTTCATATAACAGCAGTTGGAAGGAATGCTTCTCTTTGGGAGGAGGGGTTCAAAAGGTTCAAAACTTTTCTGGCCAGAGAGGAGTCAGCATTGTTAAAGACAATTTTCCATAGCTCCGGGGCTTTCTTATTCTTGCCTTGGGGCATGCTGGGAGGATGGGCCACCCATTTAAGGCACTTTTAATGTTCTGATTATTTTAAAGCAGATCGCTATAAAGGCAATTTGCATGTTTGCACTGGATATACATAAGAGCTACAATCTGAACTCTGTGCGTTCTAAATGTCTGTGATCGTATCATGTAACAGTGGGTTTTTAATATCTGGTGAGGGATTTTAAAAAGCTACAGCAGCACCCCCATACTTCTACACCAAGGCAAGTCCAATTTTAAAACCTTGAGTTTTGTTAATTTGCATACATTGATTGCTTCACATAATTTATTCTGCTTTGGCTGGCAACTGTGTTAGATGTTCCACATCACTCCTTGTTCCTCCCTCATAGCAGGCAGAAAAGCAGAATAAATTATGCAAGGTATTCATAATTAAGACGCTTGAATTTGGCATTTCCTGGTCTAGAAGTCTCCTTCTCCCTGTTGCCACCTATTTGCTGGGCACGGCTTGCGCTATGTTGTCACTGGTAACCTGCCTCAAAGTTATCCATCACCACCTTTAGGGCTCACCCCGGCTTAGCCCTTCTCCCTTTGTGTGGTGTGCCAGGGTAATGAGTCCACCACCTGACAGCGACATATCTTTCCTAATCAGCACCTGTAACATTTTAAGGGGAACTCCCTGGCACATACCCATTACACGTTTACAGACTTCAGACTTTGGGAGTCTTCACCAGGAGACATATGACCAGCCAGTAGGCCTGGGTGATATATCACTATATCGCCCAGGACCGGCATGTGGGGGCAGGCCGCGATGACAGCTTCACTCAGCGGTATATTGCTGGCGAAACCATCCCCGCTCTTGAGTCCCTCTGCCTCCAGCACCCAGCGAGCTGAGGGAGAGACAAACTAGCTGGCTGCTGGAGACAGAGGGGCTGCTTGCATGCCCGTAGGAGGGGGTTTGGGGCTGGGAAGTGCGAATCCCACCCTTCCCAGCTGAGAGCAGTTTCACCCCACCTGGCTGCCTTCTCCAGGAGGTGTGCTGCGCCTTTCCTCCCAGAAAGATGTATCCCACCTTCCCGGTGGATGGCAGCAGTGTAGGGGCTCTTTGGTGCTGCTGGCAGGCCCAGCGCTCGCCAGCAGCCTCCAGCAGCCCTTCTCCGCAAGGTGTGGATAGGGTGGCTTTGTACCCCGCGCCTTGTGGACTTCGCCCGGGAGGGCGGGCTGCGTCATTCCTCCTGAGATGAACGACACACACACACCCCACCGGAGGAAAGAGACAGTGCACCCTCACGGGCGAAGGCAGTCAAATGCACGGAGCCTGACAGGTTCCGTATGCTTGGCTACTGCCACTTGGTCCATCTTTGGGGTGTGGGGAGCAAGTGGGCAAGGTAGCTCGCCTGCCCCCCATGCCAGCAAAGGCAGAGGGATCTTGGCCGAGGAGCCCCAAGGTCCTTGCTGCTCCAGCGTAAGCAGCAGGGGCCTCAGGGCTCACTCAACTGGGGGCAGGAGCAGGAGCCTTTCCGCCCCCCAGCTGAGCAGCAGGCTGGGGCCAGCTGCATTGGCCACAGCCCACAAGGCGCTGGGGTGAAAGCGCTTCAGCTCCCACAATGAGAGCTGCGGCAGTTTCACCCGGTATCTCGCCGGCTGGAGCTAACACAGCTTTTTTCAACATTGGGGTATATCGTGTTTGGTTGGTGATACACTGCAATGTTGAAAACCCAACATCGCCCAGCCCCGCTAGCCAGCAGCAAACCTGTCTGCCATGTAAAGTGACATTTGGCCCATAGTCAGGCCTCTGTCCAGGAGCTGTTACTTTCCTGACACTTTTCCTCCCCTGAACCACACCTTCAGCAGTTGCACAATTCTAGTGATGGGGGAAAGCATCGCCTACAGAATGCATTAATGTTCTTCGGATTTCTAGAAGAGGGCAAGGCCTTACCCAGTAGAGACATGATTTCTAGCCCGGCTTTTGAGGCCTGTTTAGAAATGTAGCACTCTCTCGGATTTCTCCCCAGGGGATTGCTCAGGCCTGCACAAACCACTAGACGCTTGAGCTTATTGGACTGCCCAGCAGGGAAGGAAGGAAGGATGTGGCATATTTTTGGATGTTGGTTATGAACAGCAACGGCATTAATTCCACCATGTTCCTTTGTGCCCCACAGATATGGCAAAATTGTCTCCACCAAGGCCATCCTGGACAAAACGACCAACAAATGCAAAGGCAAGTGCAGATTGGGGGGGGGGGCGGTGCGCTGCCAACTGGGTGAGGGGAGCACAGTGCTGCAGCGTTGAGAAGGAAAGGGCATATGGGGCTGGAATCGCAGCTGGGGGCAGATGGGGTTTTGCTTGTGGTTTTTGAGAGGGAGAGCTAAGAGGCCGGAGTGCTTCACTGCATCCTTCACCCAATTTCTGGGACCGAGCCTTCTCCCCAAGAAGATACCTTTCCCTGCACAAGATCACTCAATCTCAAGGGGTGCGGGTTTGGCAGGGGGGACCTCATAACTCTGGAAAGGAAAGAGGGGCAAGGGGGAGAGGAAAGGATTAGAATTCGATTCCGGAGCCAAGTTTCTGGGGGAAGATTGGTTCTGTCTGGGAGGTGGGGCTGGGTTATCTGTGTGAGAGGGAGGTGCCAGTGGGGGGGGTGGGGTGGGGATTGGAATTCCTGACATGCCAGACATTGCTGAGGGATGGGATGGGATGGGGGGAGGGAGGGAGCAGCATCCACTCAGAACAGAGGCTTGGAGAGGGGAAGGGGAATCGCTCTGCGGTCTTCCTGACAGTGAGAGGCGGGCTCTCCCTCCCTCGCTTTCCTGCCAATGTTTGCTAACTAGCCAGGTAACACAAGCTCAGCATTGCCCGCTCAGAATTCATCTGTGGCATGCTGGAGGGTGTGGCACTGCAAGGTAATGAAAAGTGTGCGCATGGTGGGGGGAAGGTCAGGGAAAGGGGTCTACCGCACCATAGACATTGGGGGGTGGGTGCCTCTAGGCCATGCTAACTAGTAGAAAGCTGAGTGGTTCTCTGCACAGGCCGTTTCTCCACCTTTGGAGCAAGGTACACAAGGCCTGCCCTCTTATTTCCATCTCCTTGATTTCTGCAGGCTATGGCTTTGTGGATTTTGACAGCCCCACAGCGGCCCAGAAGGCAGTGACTGCACTCAAAGCCAGTGGGGTTCAGGCCCAGATGGCCAAGGTAAGACTTGTGCCCCAGCACCTATGGGGGAAGATGCCAATCCTTCCTTCTCCAGGAGGGAAGATAGGAGGGCAGCCTCTAGGCTGCAGTTCAAATCCCAGGCCAGCTCCCTACATAATGCAGAAAACATACACAATACAAGCATGTTTTTTAAAACATCTGTGTACACGTGTTTGGCAACTGTGATTGGGGCAGGCTTCCCAGCTTGCATATATATATGGGGTTTTCAAATGAATCGTCCACACTGTGTAGCGTCGTAATACTTGCATGCATGCATGCAACAGACATAGGTGTCTTGTATGCTGCCTGAGGGCTCAGCCACACTTTTGCTGGTCCCGGGCCTAGAAAGCATGGGTCCAGGTGGTTTTCTACTTCTCCCACATTTTCTAGGCACAGGTCCAGGCTGTTTTGCAACTTTCCCCTGGGAAACATGCTCTTTGCAGCTGAATCGGAACAAACCTGCATTATTCCTGCATTGCAAGGGTTGGACTAGATGGCCTTTGGGTTACCTTCCAACTCTACAATTCTATGATTGCCATTTATAGTGGTAAAGAGTGGGTTTTCCCAGAGAAAGTAGCAGGCCAAACGGAGCTTCGGACGAACGCTAACTCTCTGTATGAAATCATGGGTCCCTTCTGATACGCAGAAATCCTAAGCCTTAAGCTGCCCTGTAATATCCCAGTACAGTGGTACCTTGGGTTACAAATGCTTCAGGTTACAAACACTTCAGGTTACAGACTCCGCTAACCCGGAAGTAGTAGCTCGGGTTAAGAACTTTATTTCAAGATGAGAACAGAAATTGCGCAGCGGCGGCACAGCAGCAGTGGGAGGCGCCATTAGCTAAAATGGTGCTTCAGGTTAAGAACAGTTTCAGGTTAAGAACGGACCTCCGGAACAAATTAAGTTTGTAACCAGAGGTACCACTGTAGGGTGTTTCTCGACGGCTCTCCAGGGTGCAGACTGTGATCACGGACCAAATTCTGTGCCTTGCCTCCTTCTTAGGCATTGAGAGTCTTTGTGATATGACTGAGGTTGGGGAACGGCCAGTCTCGTGAACTGAGGCAGGCTGCGAATTTGGGAAGGGAAGGGGCGGCCTGAAAGGAACGAGTCCCCAGGGACGGGATGGACGATTGCTAGGCAACAGCCTGACTTTCTTGTTTCCATAGCAACAGGAGCAGGATCCCACCAACCTCTACCTGTCAAACCTGCCTCTGGGCATGGACGAGGCTGAATTGGAGTCGATGCTGAAGCCCTTTGGACAAGTCATCTCCACGCGCATCCTTCGCGACGCCAGCGGTACCAGCCGAGGGGTCGGCTTTGCCAGGTCAGGAGGGCGGGCTTTCTCTGTCTACAGGCAGACTCCCTTGTGCTCCAGCCCTTGCTGGGGTCTGGCTTCTTAACTCCTGTGATCTCGCCTCACACAATGGTGGCAGCTTGCGCCGGTATGCTCCCTGAGGCAGGCGTGTCTGTGCACCTTCCCATGCAGACATGTGCTCACTTGTCTCTGTCGCTGCGCTGCTCTGCTTTCACAGAGACCCAGAAATCACTGGCCACCCAGAGGCTAGCAAGCCCACACCTGGCCGAGTCTTGACCTAGACGCCTTTGTCCAAGCGTTTGCTTCCACAAGGGCTTTTGCCCAGGGACTTGCTAGGACAAACCCTCCCTTATGTATGGAAGGTTTGCAGATATGCTGAACAAACACACACTCCCTCACCTGGGGGGAATGTTTGCATTTCCACTTATACGATGGACGCCCTATTCCTAGGGCCTAGTGTTGATGGTTATTATTATTATTAAATTAAATTAGTTTACGTCCTGTGCCCACAGGTCTCAGGGCAGTTCACAACATGAAGACACAATACAAAAACACAAAATACATAATAAAAATAAAAAGAACAACCCAATAACGCCGCCCTCCCCAACACATTTTAAAAGGGCATCTGATGTTAATCAGCCAAAGGCCGACTGTTCAAGGGGAACGTTTTTGCCTCGCACCTAAAGGTGTATAATGAAGGCGCCAGCAGAGCATCCCTGGGGAGAGCATCCCACAAACAGGGAGCCACTGCAGAGAAGGCCCTGTTCTCGTGTTGCCACCCTCCGGACCTCTTGAGGAGGAGGCACACGAAGAAGGGCCTCAGAAGATGATCTCAGGGTCTGGGTAGGTTCATATGGAAAGAGGCGGTCCTTGAGGTATTGCAGTCCTGAGCCGTTTAAGGGTGTATAGGTCAAAACCAGTACTTTGAATTGGGCTCAGAAACTAATTGGTAGCCAGTGCAGTGCAGTCGGACCAGGATCGGTGTAATATGCTCAAACTGTCTTGCCCCGGTGAGCAAGCTGGCTGCTGAATTCTGCACTAGCTGAAGTTTCCAAACCGTCTTAAGAGGCAGCCCTACGTATAACGCACTGCAGTAATCTAACCTTGAGGTTACATAGGTTTGTCCAAGGCTGCAGTTTTCCTTCTCAGCTGATCTAGGCATTATGTTTGACAAGGGGATCCACATCCCTGTGTCTGTTTTCCCACGTACCTGCAGTGGCCATATTGTTTAGTGCAGGAGTGGGAAAACTAGAGGTTGCTGGATTCCAGCTTCCATTATCTCTCCAACCATTGGGCATGCCGGCTGAGGTTGATGGGAGTTGGGGTCACAATACAGTGGTACCTCGGTTTTAGAACTGCCCTGTTTACGAACTACAGTAGTACCTCAGGTTACATATGCTTCAGGTTACATACGCTTCAGGTTACAGATGCTTCAGGTTACAGACGTTTCAGGTTACAGACTCCGCTAACCCAGAAATAGTGCTTCAGGTTAAGAACTTTGCTTCAGGATGAGAACAGAAATTGTGCGGCCGCGGCGCAGCAGCAGCAGGAGGCCCCATTAGCTAAAGTGGTGCTTCAGGTTAAGAACAGTTTCAGGTTAAGAACGGGCCTCCGGAACAAATTAAGTACTTAACCTGAGGTACCACTGTATTCGGTTTACGAACTCCGCAAAACCGGAAGTAGTGTCCCAGTTTGCAAACTTTACCTCAGTCTAAGAATGGAATCCGAACGGTGGAAGGGCACCGGTGGCGAGAGGCCTCATTAGGGAAAGCACGCTTCTGTTTAAGAACGGTTTCGGTTTAAGAACGGACTTCCGGAACGGATTAAGTTCGTAAACCGAGGTACCACTGTATTGAGTTTTTCAATCAATCCCCTTTCTGCAAATGCCAAACTCACTGCAAGGTATTTGCCAGGCTGTAGAAGTACTTTTATGCAGACAAACCCTGGTGGTCTTCATCCGCTCAGACACATCTGGGTGGACACAGCCATCTCAGTTCCCACATTCCCTGCTTCCTCTACCAGCTGGGACAGCTTCTCCTGTTCTGTCCTGCAATGCCCCCTGCTGCCAGGTTTGCATTTTACACCAGATGGGCCCTGACTCCTCCGACTCCTCCAACCAGCACCACCTTGCAGCTTTCTATCACCATCAACATACCCAAGGGGGGCACTTTGGATTGCACCATTCCCTAAATTAGAATTAGGAATTGTACCTTGGCTACTTTATTTTCTAGCCAGCTGGTGGCACCGGACGTCATTGTTCCTGATGGGATAGGAGAGAAATTCAGATAGTTTTACACCTAATTCCAAGTTGGCATCCTCCTCCAGTTTGTCCAAGCCAAATATTCTCCTGCGCCTCCTTGTGGCAGGGAATGTGGAACTGCAAGTCCAGTAGCTCTTAAAAGCTAGAAGGGAATAATAATGTGTGCAGTTGTTACAGCATAGCAGTGTATAGACACGCGCCAACTTTGCAGCAGCTCCTTGCAGCCCTGGATTTGATGCATCTGATTGCCCGGAGATGAAAGCGATTCTAGACAGGTGCTCAGTCAACAAAATGGAATGAATCGCAGTAATTTGGGCTTTCCAGGCCTGTTTCAATCTTATGTCTTGAGCTCTTGGATTCAGTTTTAAAGAAATGTTCATTGGGAATGTACCACCTAAATAACTTTCCCAAGTGGAATCTGCAAGCAGGGTCCTTAAGAATCCTGTCTGTGGGTTAGATTCTGGTAAAGTCACATAGAAAGCTGATTCTTGTCTTAACTGTTATTTACATATGCGCTCACTGAATCACTTTTAATATGTGAATCCTTGAGCGGAAAGGAGTTAGAAACTGGTTATAAGATAGAAGTGTTCTACTTAGGATTGCTAGCTCACCTCGGGCAGTTTTCCTGACAAGCAGAAATCCAGCAACTAGAGATTTTCCATCTCTACACATCTCTCTTGGGTAAAGCATTACTGTTGAATTCCTCTCTCACACACAGCCATTACAGGCACAGAAGCCCTGATGGGAGAAGGTGGGTGACAGCTCTTAACATCGGAATTCCCTTCCTGAAGTTTAGTCGGAATCTCTTTTCTAGTAACCTGAAGCCATTGGTTCCAGTCTTACCCACTGGAACAGGAGAAGAAAACAAGCTTGCTCCATCTTCCATGTGACAGCCCTTGAGATATTTAAAAATGACTATCATATCTCCTCTCAGTCTCCTCTTTAAACAGGCTTAACATACCCAAGTCCATCAACTATTCCTCCAGACCCTTGATCATACTGGCCACCCTGCTTTGCAAACATTCCAGCTTGTCAACATCCTTCTTAATTTGTGACACCCAGAACTGGACACAGTACTCCAGGTGTGGTCTGACCAAGGCAGAATAGAGCAGTACTATTACTTCTCTAGATCTGGACACTAGACTTCTGTTGATGCAACCTAGAACAGCATTGGCTTCCCTCCCTCCTTTTTATCCCACTGTTGCTTCACGTCTGTAGGAATCTCAGCGTGACCAGGAGCAGGTGGGCTACAACTTTGCAATAAGTGTGGCTCCTCCGCTTACATTGACACCCTTCCCAGCCCAGCGTCACCAATGGTTTCTTTTCCCTTCTTCCCCCAGGATGGAGTCTACAGAAAAGTGTGAAGCTATCATCACGCACTTCAATGGCAAATATATCAAAACACCTCCAGGGGTCCCAGGTGAGAAGCACAGTTGGCTGTGAGGGTTGAGTGGTGGTTGGGAGCCTGGCAGCTAAGACTGTCTCAGGAGGATGTGTGGACTGCTCTTGTGAGGAACAGCAAGGGAGAACTCTGAGCCATTTTCTGCATGCCGCAAAGTCAAGCGATAAAGCTTTTCCAATGCTGTTTTGTTTTGAATAGCATAGCATAGCATAAAGGTAGAGGGACCCCTGACCATTAGGTCCAGTCGTGACCGACTCTGGGGTTGCGGCGCTCATCTCGCTTTATTGGCTGAGGGAGCCGGCGTACAGCTTCCAGGTCATGTGGCCAGCATGACTAAGCCGCTTCTGGTGAACCAGAGCAGCGCACGGAAACACCGTTTACCTTCCCGCCGGAGCGGTACCTATTTATCTACTTGCACTTTGACGTGCTTTCGAACTGCTATGTTGGCAGGAGCAGGGACCGAGCAACGGGAGTTCACCCCGTTACGGGGATTCGAACCGCCGACCTTCTGATCAGCAAATCCTAGGCTCTGTGGTTTAACCCACAGCGCCACCCACGTCCCAATAGCATAGCATAGAATTTATTATTTATACCCCGCCCATCTGGCTGGGTTTCCACATCCACTCTGGGCAGCTTCCAACAGAGTATTAAAATACAGTGGTCTGTTAAACATTAAAAGCTTCCCTAAAGAGGGCTGCCTTCAGATGTCTTCTAAAAGTCTGGTAGTTGTTCTTCTCTTTGACATCTGGTGGGAGGGCGTTCCATAGGACGGGCGCCACTACCGAGAAGGCCCTCTGCCTGGTTCCGTGTAACTTTCAGTGAGGGAACCGGCAGAAGGCCCTCGGCGCTGGATCTCAGTGTCCGGGCAGAACGATGGGGGTGGAGACGCTCCTTCAGGTATACTGGGCCGATGCCGTTTAGGGCTTTAAAGGTCAGCACCAACACTTTGAATTGTGCTCGGAAACGTACTGGGAGCCAAAGTAGGTCTTTCAAGGGACCTATATTGCAGTGCAGTTGGGAAACTGCATGTCGTGATTTCCCCCTCACAAAATGCTCCTTTCCCTTTGCAGCACCTCCAGATCCGTTGCTTTGCAAATTTGCTGATGGCGGCCAGAAGAAGCGCCAGAATCAGGGCAAATATGTGCAGAACGGGCGAGCCTGGCCACGGGAGAATGACACGGTAAAGGAGGGGGCAGCAGGGAATGGGGGGAGGCTGCAACAGTCGGAGACCAGTCCGTTAGCCACATGCGGCAGTCAGCCCAGAGCTCAACAACCCTCTCGTGTGAACATTTTGTTGCATGTGTGAAACTGCAAAAACAGAGTGAATGTCACACTCCTGGCTGGCTATTTCGTGTGGCTGGTGGACGGCCTTTGGTTTAGTGGGCTGGCCATAGGTTTTGCAGGCTTGGGGATTAGACATTCTCTTTAGGGCAGGGGTGAGGAACCTCCAGTCCACAGGCCGAACAGAGCTTGCCAGGGCTCCCTATATTTTGGAAGCCACGCCCACCTGCCCTACACTTGAGAGAATACACGACGTCAGCTGTGGGGCAGGTAAGAGTAGAACTTCAATTCAGAGCTTAAAGTGAGCTCATTTTGTTCCTTTGATGGAGCAAAGTGCGCTCCCACCCCCATCAGTTGATGATGAGAGTGCGCATTGATCAAGGAAGGTAAAGCTGTTTCCATTCAGTGGAAACCGCTCCTCCTTCCCTCCTTCCCTCTTTGAATGTCCAGAAACCAAACAGGCAGTGCTGGGCTGTATGAAAGCCCTTCACGAGCTCTTTAAGCTTTCAATTTTTGGAGGTTTAAGGAGTATCACTGCACTGCTTACAAAGGGCTTTCAAACAGCCCTGTGCTGTGCTTTGAAGTCCCGACAATTGGGGCTTCAAAGTGCAGGATTGGTGGACATTACTATGACGCCAGGTAACTGGCAGGGGGACACCCACCTGCCCAATTTGGCCTGCCGTGGGTTGGGGAAATTAGGATCTGGCACACTGGACAGAAAAGTGTTCCTGCCCCTGCTTTTAGGGTCCTGGCTGGCTGCAGGATTTTGAGGTGGCATCATCAGGGGTTCCACTAAGCAGGGCAAGGCTTGCAACCTGCCCCTAGGAAGGCAGAGAAGCAGTTGCTGATTGGTTGAGCTGGGATCTTGGTGGGTCAGGAGAATGGGAGGAGCCACGTATGAACTGTCTACTATTTCCATGCAGGGTGGGATGACCTTGACCTATGACCCCACAACGGCGCTACAAAATGGGTATGTCTTCTGCTTTGCCTGTTTCTTCACATTGTAACCAAGAAATAGTTTGGTAGACGATCTGGCCATAGCCTTCAAGGAGACCTGGCAGAATAAGATCTGCATATCTGTGAGCTTATGGGAAGGGCTGTACGTTCAGCTTCCTCTGAAGCTATATGAAGCTCTTCAACGATTTCTCCCCATACCCTCTGCAGGTTCTACACCACACCCTACAGCCTGGCCCCCAACAGGATGATTGCCCAGACTGCGCTCTCTCCTTATCTCCCGTCACCTGTTTCTTCCTACCAGGTACTTCTCTCTTACTCTTACCCCCAGCTTTGTATGTGATCAGCACAGGCCTTGATTCAAACATCTACTGTCATAGATCTGTTTTGGGCCTACGAGTGTGAGCTGCAAATCTGGAAGCCTTTGCTTCAAATCTCACCTCAGCCACTTATCTCACAGCCCTTTCCCTATCAGTGATATGGGGATAATAAGACTGGCCGACTTTTAAGAGCTTTTTCAAGAATTACGAAGTGAAATGTGTTACTGATAACTATCTACTTCTATTACTCTCTGCAGGTTCACAGCCCGTCATGGATGCACCATCAGTCATACCTCATGCCGCCCACGGTGAGACCCCTTCCTCCCATAATATCCATATTAAGGGCATTTTATTTGCAAGTAACACCCTTTCTGTTTGGAACATAAACTTACTTGGATAATAATAATAATAATAATAATAATAATAATAATAATAATAATAATAATAATTTTTATTTATACCCCCGCCCTCTCCAGCCAAGGCCGGGCTCAGGGCGGCTAACAAGCAATAATAAAAACAAGTTGAATGAATACAACTTAAAAACAAGATTAAAATACAACATTAAAATATTGAATATCATCACAGGAGGAGAAAGGAAAAAGAAAAAAGAAAGAGGGGGAGGGAATCAAATGGGCTCCAAGCCAAAGGCCAGGCGGAACAACTCTGTCTTACAGCCCCTGCGGAAAGAAATCAGATCCTGCAGGGCCCTGGTCTCATGAGGCAGAGAGTTCCACCAGGCCGGAGCCAGTGTTGAAAAGGCCCTGGCTCTGGTTGCAGCTAATCTAACTTCCTTAGGGTCCGGGACCACTAGGGTGTTGCTATTTATGGACCTTGAGGCTCTCCGTTGGGCATACCGGGAGAGGCGGTTCCGTAGGTACGAGGGTCCTAGGCCGTGAATGCAGAATGCAGAGCAGAAGAGCCAGTTTAAAATCAAACGTTCGTGAAGTTTGTATTTTGCAATTGCAGGAGATGCAAAAAGTCATCTAAGCATCACATGAGAGAGCAACATAAAGCCTGAGGCCCTTGTCCAGTTCTGGTCCAGGATATTAGACGACACCCTCTTTCCCCAAGGCTGGCTAGGTATCCTCTGCACCCAGAAAGCTGAGGGGACCATGATGAATGTAGAGAAAACTTCACCCCTGCCTTGCAGCCAGCATACGCCACCTAATTATTTTAAATCACAGAGGCTTCTCCTGACTTCACTTCAATTATTATTATTATTATTATTATTATTATTATTATTATTATTATTTATACCCCAACCATCTAGCTGGGTTTCCCCAGCCACTCTGGGCAGCTCCCAACAGAATATTAAAAACACGATAAAACATCAAACATTCAAAACTTCCCTAAACAGGGCTGCCTTCAGATGTCTTTTAAAAGTCAGACAATTGTTTATTTCCTTGACATCTGATGGGAGGGTGTTCCACAGGGCGGGCGCCACTACCAAGAAGGCCCTCTGCCTGGTTCCCTGTAACCTCTCTTCTCGCAGTGAGGCAACTGCCAGAAGGCCCTTGGAGCTGGACCTCAGTGTCCGGGCTGAATGATGGGGTGGAGATGCTCCTTCAGGTATACTGGACCAAGGCCGTTTAGGGCTTTAAAGGTCAGCACCAACACTCTGAATTGTGCTCAGAAACATACTGGGAGCCAATGTAGGTCTTTCAAGACCGGTGTTATGTGGTCTTGGCAGCTGCTCCCAGTCTAGGTGCCGCATTCTGGGTTAATTGTAGTTTCCGGGCCACCTTCAAAGGTAGCCCCACCTTTAACTGCTGCCAGTGTCTCCTCTGCCATGAGTTATTCCAGGCCCTTTATGGACACTTCCCTCTCTCCATTACAGTGGTGCCCCGCAAGACGAATGCCTCGCAAGACGGAAAACCTGCTAGACGAAAAGGTTTTCCGTTTTTGAGTTGCTTCGCAAGACGATTTTCCCTATGGGCTTGCTTCGCAAGACGAAAACGTCTTGCAAGTCTTGCGATTTTCCCCCCGCTTCCCCCCCCTTTTTCTAAGCCGCTAAGCCGCTAATAGCCTTTTAGCAGCTAAGCCGCTAAGCCTTTAATAGCCGCTAAGCCGCTAATAGGGTTGCTTCGCAAGACAAAAAACCGCTAGACGAAGAGAATCGCAGAACGGATTCTTTTCGTCTTGCAAGGCACCACTGTATCTTATTCCCACAATTTTTTTCTTTAACCTCTCTCTCCTTCTCTCTCCTTCTCTCTCTCTCTCTCTCTCTCTCTCTCTCTCTCTCTCTCTCTCTCTCTCTCTTGCTGTTGCTAAACAGGGCACAGTGCTGACACCTACCATGGACCATGCGATTTCCATCCAGCCCACTTCCATGATGGGGCCCCTAACTCAGCAGCTGGGCCACCTGTCCCTCAGCAGTGCTGGCACGGTAAGTGTCTGCTTCCTCCTCTACCCTTCCCCCTTCTCGGAGGGGCTTTAGCCCTCGTCTCCTGCGCCTTTTTGACGTCTCCTCTCCCTCCGTCCCACCAGTACATGCCAGCAGCAGCAGCTATGCAAGGAGCCTACATCCCCCAGTACACACCTGTGCCTTCCTCTAGTGTCGCAGTTGAGGTAAGAGGCCCTTTTGTTATTTCTCTCTAAGTTGGGGGTGCATGCCAGGCACCGATATACAGTGGTACCTCGGGTTACATACGCTTCAGGTTACATACGCTTCAGATTACAGACTCCGCTAACCCAGAAATAGTACCTCGGGTTAAGAACTTTGCTTCAGGATGAGAACAGAAATCGTGCTCCGGCAGCGCGACAGCAGCAGGAGGCCCCACTAGCTAAAGTGGTGCTTCAGGTTAAGAACAGATCTCCGGAACGAATTAAGTACTTAATCCGAGGTACCACTGTATCACAAACACACAAACACACACGCGCGCACACACACAGGGAACTGTTTTTATTTTTACTGATCATTATTATAAACATTATTTCTAGACCGTTCTTCATCTGACAATCGCAGGGCAGAACCTACACAAAATACTAAACAGTGGTACCTCAGGTTACATATGCTTCAGGTTACATACGCTTCAGGTTACAGTCTCTGCTAACCCAGAAATAGTACCTCGGGTTAAGAACTTTGCTTCAGGATGAGAACAGAAATTGTGCTCCGGCGGCGCAGCAGCAACAGGAGGCCCCATTAGCTAAAGTGGTGCTTCAGGTTAAGAACGGACCTCCGGAACGAATTAAGTACTTAACCCGAGGTACCACTGTACTGCAAAATACATAGTACAGTCGTACCTTGGATCTTGAACGCCTTGGCTCCTGAACAAATTGGCTCCCAAATCATCAAAACCTGGAAGTGATTGTTCCAGTTTGTGAACGTTCTTTGGAACCCGGACGTCTGACGGGGCTTCCGCGGCTCCCGATTGGCTGCAGGAGGTTCCTGCAGCCAATCAGAAGCCGCGCTTTGGTTTCCGAACGTTTTGGAAGTTGAACGGACTTCTGGAACGGATTCCATTCGACTTCCAAGTATTCCACAGCCGGCACCATCACAGTCAATTCTGAATATTTTTGGGTCACTTTCTTCCAGAAACCAGAATAAGGGAGGAAAAAGTGCTTTCAAAAGATGGCTAAAAGCAATACTGGCCAGTCATCTCTCTAATGGGAAGGAGTTCTATAATTGCTGTGATGGCTTTGTTCTGGGTGCCTATAACAGACATGGCCAGCAGGGCCTCCCCACTCATTTTAAAGCCCAGGTCGGATGTACTGGGCGAGGCTGTCTGCCATGTGCAGTCATACCTCGGGTTAAAGGCGCTTCGGGATAAATCTTTTCAGGGTGTGTCCTGCAGCGACCCGGAAGTAATGGAACGGGTTACTTCTGGGTTTTGCCGCTCGCGCATGCGCAGATGCTCAAAATGCCGTCACGCGCATGCGCAGAAGTGGCAAATTGCGACCCGCGCACACGCAGACACGGGTTGTGTTCTGCTCAGGTTGCAAACGGGGCTCCGGAACGGATCCCGTTCGCAACCAGAGATACCACTCTATTTGGGTCCTAGGCCGTTTGCATCTTTAGACAACTAAAGTCAAAACTTTAAATCATTCCCAGGAACCAGGGCCACTCCTGAAAGATTCCGCTTTGGGACATCATACAGCAGGCACGGCAAACCTCTGGCCCTGCCAGGACTCTTAATTTGCCCCACAAAGTTACTATTCCCCATCCAGGAACACACCTGTCACTCACCTGACATCAGATGAAACTGAAGCTGCAAAGGAACAGCTGAGAGCCTTAGAGTGTGTTCCTGATTCTGCCTTCACAAGTGTGGCTGGCATAAGCCACCGTTATACGTGGGGCAAGCTGTGCTGCTGGGGTTGGATCCACGCAGGAACCCACTAGCATTCATTGCCAAATTTAAAGGCTGCTGAGCGCAAGACATGCTCGCAAAGGAACAGGTGGGAGCGCAGGCTCCTGGTATGCCCCTTTACCAGTGCTGTTTGCATTTAGCCCTAAACGGCCTAGGTCCAGTATACCTGAAGGAGCGTCTCCATCCCCATCGTTCTGCCCGGACACTGAGGTCCAGTGCTGAGGGCCTTTTGGCAGTTCCCTCACTGAGAGAAGCCAAGTTACAGGGAACCAGGCAGAGGGCCTTCTTGGTAGTGGCACCCGCCCTGTGGAACGCCATCCCACCAGATATCAAAGAGAAGAACAACTACCAGACTCTTAGAAGGCATTTGAAGGCAACCCTGTTTAGGGAAGCTTTTAATGTTTAATAGGTTATTGTATTTTAATATTCTGTTGGAAGCCGCCCAGAGTGGCTGGGGAAACCCAGCCAGATCGGCATGGTATGTATGTCTAGGCGACGTTTCGACGAGGTCTCAACTCGTACTTCAGGCTGGTGCTTTCGGCTTCTTGTTACTGGAAACAGAGCCAAGAAGCCGAAAGCACCAGCCTGAAGATGACGAGTGAGACCTCGTCGAAACGTCGCCTAGAACACCCCACTTTTACACGGGAAGACACCCGAGGACACCAAACTGCATTCCTGTACCCGTGAAAATCTACGAAAGCATATATATATATATATATATATAAATATTGTCACCAAAATATAAGACGTGCTGCTTTGACAGGCGTTGGGCCCACCAGGTTGTTGTGTGAGGTCATGTGATTGGCAGCCCTGCCGTCAAATGTGATTCATGAAGGGTAGACCACAGTTGGCATCCAGCCCACCAACCCAAAAAGGGGTTCCCCGCCCCTGCCGTAAAGCTAACCGAGCTTGCAGATTCAACCGCTAGTTTCTACTCCTGGGTTGCTTTAGAAACACAGTGCAGTAATCCAATCCTGAGATTATCGAGAAGTGGGATTATAGTGGGCCAGGCCTATCTTGGCCTAGAACCAGCCTGTAGGGATGAGGCAACCTGGTTTATGTTTAAAACAGGCAAGTGGGTGGGTGGGAAGGAAGGAATCCGGTGTGTATACACACCCAGGGCTTTTTTCCCTAGCCAGAACTTGCAGGAACTCAGTTCCGGCCCCTGTCAGGTGGATGCCATTGCCATTCTAAGAGAACAAGGGAGAAGTTCACTGCAAACTCCGGAACCCCTTTTCTAGAAAAATAACACTGTATACACCCCCTTCTGAAACAATCTTAGGATCTGCACAAAGCTACCATTTCAGCACCCTTAACAAACTGCAGTTCTCAGGAGAGTGTGTGTGCGTGTGTGCGCTTTAAATTATGGTGTGTACACAGCCCAGGCCTAGACCCCAACCACCGTGTTCAAAGGCAATTCTTGCCCGCATGAGAAATAAATCTAGTTCCTGATCCTACTGCCAAAATGGTCTGGCCTGTTTGGAGCTTTGTGAAACCATCTTCCTCCCCACTACTGCCCTCTGGCTTTAGGAGATATAAAGTACAGGGGTACCTCGGGATGTGAACGGGATCTGTTCCGGAGCCCCATTCGCATCCTGAACAGAACGTAAGACGCGACCGCGTGCACAGGTCATGTTTCGACGCTTCTGCGCATGCGCGTGACATCATTTTGACCGTCTGCACATGCGCGAGCGGCGAAACCTGGAAGTAACGCGCTCCGTTACTTCCGGGTTGCCGCGGAGCGCAACCCGAAAATGCTTATCCTGAAGTGTATTTATCCTGAGGTATGACTGCATCGTTCTACTGAACCATTTTAAGTTGGTGTAGGACTTTGGTTTCCAACAAATGTTTAACAAGGATCATCTTTGTAGAGGGGGCAGCAAGATCACCTGCCCCCCTGACTCATTTCCATGCGAGTGGAGGCCTGGCTAAAGGGCCAGTGTCAACATTTCTCTGCTTACATTCCTTAGCAGCAAACTCCTGTGTGTGTGTGCCATGAGGAGGAAAATGAGAGAGAGCCGCCGAAAAACACAAGAAGGGAAGTGAGGGGGATGGGGCAGAGAGCAAGGCCTACACTAGGAGATTGTCACAAGCTGTTTGGACACAGAGGAATGGTGAGAGGCAGCAGCTGAGGAACCCCCAAGGGAAGAAGGCTCAGAGCCCGGGGATTGGTGGTGGGACAACAATGAGTTGTCAGAAGGACAAGACTGGGAGAAGGAGGTGCTGGCAACTGAAGAGGTAATAGGGCTCAATGAGCAGGGAGAGTCTGTGGCCGAGAGAAGACCAGAATCAGAGGCAGAAGCTGAAGCAGGAGGGAAGCCAAGAGGCAAAGATGAGACAGGCTAGTGAAGAGTCCTGGGGTCTCCAGCTTTTGCTGCAATGAGCTCCTCTCCCCGCTGGTCTCCTAGAACCACGAGAGGCGTGAAAAGGGCAGAGGCGAAGTTCACTTCGTGCAGGCACAGTCTCAGATTACTTGGGGGAAACTCTGGAGAGGAGGGGACTTAGGCAGCTGGGGGGAGGTGGGGACCTTCAGTCTCCCCAGCTGCTTCATGGGGGCAAGACCTACCAGAGATGAGTCACTGTGCACATTAGGCCTGACACACCTGTGCAGATCCAAGTCAGCCTTGCTTAACTTGGTGGACCTGATAGGTTCTGGAGGAAACGTGTTGTTGTTGTTTAGTCGTTTAGTCATGTCCGCCTCTTCATGACCCCCTGGACCAGAGCACGCCAGGCACTCCTGTCTTCCACTGCCTCCCGCAGTTTGGTCAAACTCATGCTGGTAGCTTCGAGAACACTATCCAATCATCTCATCCTCTGTTGTCCCCTTCTCCTTGTGCCCTCCATCTTTCCCAACATCAGGGTCTTTTCCAGGGAGTCTTCTCTTCTCATGAGGTGGCCAAAGTATTGGAACCTCACCTTCACAATCTGTCCTTCTAGTGAGCACTCAGGGCTGATTTCCTTAAGAATGGATACGTTGGATCGTCTTGCAGTCCATGGGACTCTCAAGAGTCTCCTCCAGACCATAATTCAAAAGCATCAATTCTTCGACGATCAGCCTTCTTTATGGTCCAGCTCTCACTTCCATATATCACTACTGGGAAAACCATAGCTTTTACTATACGGACCTTTGTTGGCAAGGTGATGTCTCTACTTTTTAAGACGCTGTCTAAGATGCTGTGTTTTGTCACAGGAGAACAGTGGCCAGCAGAGCCATGTGACAGTGGAGTCCCCATCGGATCATGCTGCCTACTCGTACCAGTACAACAAGTAACAACAGGTAAGGTGGAAGTGGGGAGGCATTGTGTGGGGCGTGGAAGGACAGCTCCATCTCTCCCAGAGGGCAAAAGCAACATCTGTCTAAGGCTTGGTTATCAGCCAGTTCCCGGAGGGCTGGGGATGGTGCCAGAGGCTGGACCACTTTGACTTGACCCCGGGGCCACAAGCGCAGCAGGGGCCAACTCAGGATAGCCCCCGCCCTCGTAATTACCTCCACTTTCCATCCTTCTAGCACCATCGAGCAGCTCAGCTCTGAGCAATCACTTCGAGGGAGACAACTTTTATTTTTGTTTAATTTGTGCTGCGTTTAGAAGATGGAACCATTTTTTTTTCCTGCAAAGAAAAAAGGTTGTTTTTGTTTTTGTTGTGTTTTTTTTTAAAAAAGGAAATAACCGCAATAGACTTTTGACACCGAGGAACCAAAGGAGGTTAGCGTGGGGGTGGAAAGGCTATGGCCCCCCGACCCTTAGATGTACAGATGGACTAAGGACTATTTTAATACAAGGAAAACATTTTTGTGTGTGCGTGTGCGTGTGTTTGCGCGTTAATTTTCTTGTTAACAGCAAAGTCAAACGCTTTGGATGCCACAAAATTCCCCAGAGAAGAACAATTGTTATTGTTTATTTTTTTTCCTCGCTCTCTTTTTTGGAAAGATGGCTCTCCAACTCTGGGAGGAATTTTTTTTGCTCCTTTTAATTTGTTTTATTTTCTTTGGTCATTTAAAAGATTTTTTAAAGGACAAATATGCAAAAGTGTTTGAATATTTTTTGTTGTTTTATAAGAAAAAAAAATGCTCTGAGAAAGCCCCACTTCGCAGCTGTTAGGGAAAAAAAATCAATGCAGACTTCTTCTTTTCTTCCTTGGGGTGGGAGTGGGGAGGGAGTGGGGATTTTGCTTTGAAAGGATTATTTTATTATTTCAAGAGGGTAATTTTTTTTTCTAAAAAAGACAAATTTACAAAAAAACAAAAAAGGAAACCTACAAAAAAAATCTACAAAAAAATGAAAACTACAAAAAAAAATATGAACTTTTGACGGCAGCAAGAGGGGCTTGCGTAAAAACTTGTCAAGTTGGAGGGAGATGAAGTGGCTGGTGGCTTTTGATGAACGGACTATTTTGTGGGGGGCAAAAGTTCTGCCCCAGCTGAGAAAGAGAGAGAGAGAGAAAAAGAAAGAAAGTTTGCTCCAGACCTCGATTTCTGCCCTCTACCCTGTCCGATGGGACCGGTTCTTGCTGGATTGCTTTGGACTCTGTTTTGAGCTTCTGCGCAGACCCTTCTTTGCTTCCACACGGACTTCCCCCCTCGCCCGCCCTGCTCTGGATCAGGGGAACAATAAACTGATTGAGGAACCTGCTGCCCCGTGATGTGTCGTCGCTTCCGGACTCTTGGACACTGAATGGACGCGTTGCCAGCAACAGTGCTTCGCCCTCCTGCCCTCTCCTGCCCCACCTCCCGACCCTCCCTTGGGACACACACACACAGTGCCTTCTGCTGCCTGCGGTCCGGACTGTGCTGCCGTATGCCCCCCCTCCGACTCCTGCATGCCTGTCAAACCCAGGTGCACACAGCCTCTCTCTTTTCTTGGCAAACCAGTTGGGGGCGCAGAGGTCGATGCTTCCAGCTGGCAGGGGGGGATTTGGGGTGGGGGGTGGGGGCAGGGAGGTCTGTTTCGGTTGCTTTAAAAAAAACCCACACACAAAACAGGGAGCATCTTGCACCTTGCAGGGGATGGCTGAGTTCCCCACCCCCACCTCGAAACGGATATCCTAGTTACTATGCACGTTTCCCTTCCTCACCCCCCCAAAAACAAGCCCTTGGTTGCTGGCTCCCCAGATTCGCAATAGCAGGAGACTATGTGCAATAATCCAGCCCTTCCTACAGCGCGTTTCCCTGGAGAGCCTTTCGAAGGTACCAAGTGCTTTAGACCACCTCTGCATGTTTTCTCTCCGTTTTCTCCCCCCCCCCCAAAAAAAAACCCCCTGCTTTCTCCCAACCAGATGGTGCTAAAAGACTTATCCTCTCTTCCACTATAAAATCAGCCCAGCTGGCATGAAGCTGACCCTTTCCACCTTGTTTTTAGATGTTGCTTCCCGCTTCCCACCCCACCCTCCAGATGTGATCATGAGAAACCTTTTCCCCCCCTCCTCCTCTCTTGACGCCCAACTCATACCTTTGACGAAATAGCTCTTATGCAGCTGACAATCAGGGAGGATTAATTGCAGAGGCCATACGGGTGTCATGTGAGCCAGGGATTGAGAGCGTGGAAGTGCGTGTGTGTGTGTGTGTGTGTGTGTCTGTGTGTGTGTGTTTGTATGTATGTAGAATGGCATTGGGAGAAGGTATCCCTGCAGAACTGGGCTTTTTCCCCTTTGTTTTTAATTTTGCGTTTCTCAGGACATTGGTATTTTCTTTTCTTTTTAAAGGATTTGTACTTTGTCCTGACTGTTAAGTGGGATCAGGTTTTCCTCCCTAACCGGAGTGTTTGAGGTTTTTGGAAAGATAAGGGTTCAGTACACCCACCCGCCTTGCATAGCTCCTAAGTCATACGCTTCTTTGTTGTCTGTCCTCCTCAGCCACCCCCCCCCCAAATTTGCACCCTTAATTGGTGGCAACGCAGGACTGAGGCACCCCCATTTAATACCTCAGATATCGGCAAGGGAGAGGTCTCGTTATAAGCAAGCAGAATCGCTGCTTGTAACATCAGTCGATTCCCAGAATGCTGTTTTTGTGCCCCTTCCCCGGACTGGAGCTTAGACTGAATCAAATTAAGCTGAGAATTTACCCCAAGGTGCTGAGCTAAACTGAAGTGCCTTCATTTGGGCAGAGGGCCCCCGCACACCTTCATCGCTGAAAGCTTTGCGGCAGGGGCTAAACTGACTTCTGCAAGGTGAGGCCTAACAGCTGGCTGAGTAGGGGAAGAGATTTAGGCCAAAATTAATCAGCAAAAGGTGTCTTGTGTTTCTGTTGAACTTTGCCTGTCACAATATTCCACTCAAATGGCCAAAAGCGCACCGCACCATAGAGATATGGGTGCAGAACAACTCCCCCCCTACGCACATCATCATCCTGTTACCCAAGTGGCAGTTTCCAGGAAATGAGAGCTGGTTGTCTTATTTTTTCGCAAGTCAGTCTTTACTTCATTTGGGTGCCAGCAGACCACAGCATTCAAAAACGTAGTTTCGGTGTAGCACATGACACACCCAACTTGTGCCAGCCACAGCAGTTCCTTAGATCAAGCTGTAAAAAGATTCGGGCTCAATTAATTGGTTTTCTAGTGTGTTCCAAATCTGGACAGCAACCCAAATAATACTTTTGGTCTGCACCAACATTTCCATTCTTGCACCAGATTTCCTGATATCCCACCCCCACCGCCCAAAATAAAATACATCGCACAGCATCAGAAGCCACTTTCCAAGTTTTCGCCTGAGTCCTCTATGCAATCCCTCTGGATCACACCGATCCATTAGGAAGTTTTGTTTGGATTGACACGGCTAGAAGCTTCACAGGAGCACTTCTGCCACTGCCGTTAATTTTAATACAGCTTACACAGGATAATTTCCTTGCGGGTTCTGCTTGTCCAACATGATCAGATGTGTTGGGATTTCAGGCAAATGGTAGTACGTAGCTGCTTAGCGATTCCCAGGTTTTGAAAGAAGGAGCATGGAGATTTGTGAAAACAGTATATTGAGCCTTCCCTTAGATTTACGTCTGATTTATTGCATACGAAGAACCAATTAAGTATGTGAGCACGAAATTATGTTCCCCTCCTATATTGGTTATTTTAATCACCGTTTTATATAAGGCTTTTGATAACAAAGTTTTAATGGATAAACTCGGATAAATTAGCAAAGCTTGAAATTAGACTAGATATAGACATTCGATGCTGGTGGCCAAGGATGTGATTTATTCAGCCCATGTAGGTAAGATGCACATGGCCATGTAAAAGTCTTGATCATCTTCCAAAGCATGTCCTTAGAACTAAATTCTAACAATGGTTCAATGCAAACATAATGTTTAAACATGGTTCGCATTAACCATGGCTTGCTGCCACCTCTGATTAGTATTTCAGAATATACTGAAAACATGGTTAGCTTCTGTTAACCTGCCCCTGGAGGGCATGTATATAATAAGACACCAGCAAGATGGAGAAACTGTCTTAACCATGGTTTGCTCAGTGCAGAAGGAACATTTAACCATGGTTTAGGAAGTCAGATGTAAAGTAACACTTAAACCATGGTTAAGGTAAACAAACCCCACTCAAAACATGATGTCTGTATGGGACTCCCACTATCCCTTTTTTCAGCTTAATTCAGTTTCGATTATGACCCTGCTCTGGTTCCACCTCTGCAGTGCTAACAAAATATAAAACAAAGAAATAAACTCAGTCCAGCAAAAGTTAGTTGTAGCCAAAGGTTCAATCCTCTGGGTCCCATGAATTCAGTAAGTCAAGATGCATAAGATTCTGTTTAGGGAAATAAGGAATACAGCAAAGTCTGACAGCTCCATCAAGGGCGCTCCATGCATGGAAACAGCATTGTGAAGTGCATAGGGATGCAGTTGCAGATATTAATCTAGATGTACATCTGGATGCAATATTTATCTGGGTCTTACTGAACTGGCTGGATGTGTTCATTGTGCATAGGAATGCATATACACCCGAAACTGCCTAATTGCCATTTGTGACTAGTTATCTATAACAAGAGCTGGTTTGGAAGCAAGGAATTCCTGGTATCATGGATACAAATACTTCAGTGCTGGTTTCAGAGTGACTGTGCATCACCCTCCATGAAATAATTTCTGCTTTCAAACCAGGGACTGCAGTCTTTAGCCTTCCTGGTGGGGTTGCTGTGCATGCCACAGATTTCGTGGATTGCGAATCTTTTCGGGATTAAATTCCAGTTCAGAAAGGAGTGCATTTTGGAATGTTGTGGGAATGGTCTTTTCAATGTGTGTGCCTGTGTTTCATGGCTGGCATGCAGCTATATTATTAAATAAGTTTCATTTCCCAAAACAGGTTGACCTCCATCTCAGCAGTAGCTAACGTTGCAATGTTTTCCTAGGCTAGTTGCATTTTACTTCTGCGTTCCTTCATCTCTCTCACTGCCCTGAAAGACTTGGCTTTACTATAGGATCAGCATTTCACAGGCCGTATCCGTCTTTTGCTAGGGACTCCAATCTATTTGCAAAAAGTCTCTCTGCATTTGTTCAAGAGGAGCTTAGGCAGCCAGCAGCACAAAACTAAACAGATGCCATACTGCAACACACCTGGCAACCCCTTACAAATCTCTTCCATCCAGGTTTGAGTGCGTACGAGCCATCCTATGCCGCTGCCCCAGTTTTCTGGATCAGGGCAAATTGCTTAGCTGTTGCCCATGCTTCCTTCTCATCCTCAGCCTGTTTAAAAAATAGTTGTCCTGCAGACTTGTTTCATCTGCTTTCTCCTCCGGTGTGTTTAAGAGCTCCCTCTATTCTAGCCTCCCCCTGGTCAGTCGCTCTCTCATTTGGACTAGGAGGCAGCTCTTGGTGGAAGTGGGGTGAGAGGAGGGAACACAAAGGAAGGGAAGAGTTTGAGTCCCATTTTGCATCAAGACAGCCTTTGGGACTGGAGACGTTATTTGTGTTTGTCGAAACCCAGCAGAGGAGGACAGGAGCAGCTTCGACCTAAGCGTTCATGCCGATGTCCCTACCTCTTCTTTGCCACATTTTTCTTTTGTTTGCCAAAGATATAAACAAGGTCTCCTAGGGCTAACCTGGTGCCACTCTGCATTTTTTAAAAGAAAGAACAAAAACGGAGTTTCTACCTGAGCCGAGTCTTAAGCCAGATGCAGCGGTCTGTTAAGGCCCGGTCCCATGCAGAGAGGAAGCAAGGACTGGTTTAAGAACAGCAAGTAACACAAGACGTGAGAGGGAGGCCGAGGGTAGGGGTAGCGAAGGCAAGGGAGAGATTGTGGCCAGGGCTGGGTGGGTAAGGAGAAAGGATAGGGTGTAAAGGGAAGAATTAGGGTATGCGTAAGGCTGGATGCTAATGCAGTGTGAGAGGAAGTAAGATTGTAGTGGGGAAAAGGTGGACGTGCACAGACATGAGAGATTGTGTGCTGCGGGCCCAGATAGAGACCCTACATTTCGCCACTGCAAAGCTTACCCATGGTCTTAAGCCCTGTTCTCACTCCCCACACCTTCCCTAAAGCACTTCCTAGCTTTTCTTTTCCTGAGGGGGACACCTATGACAGACAAACGAGTCATGGCATTTGGGGCCCTTTGACCCCATCGTCCCAGGTCTGGAAGGAGGGTTAGCAGTTAGGAGAAGCATCCGAGAATATCCTCCACGGGCTGCAGAGACCGGCCGTCGAATGGCACCGCTCATCCCCCCCCCCCGACCACGCCAGCTCCTAACTGCTAGGAAGGCTCCTGGCTGCTTTCGTGGAGCACCTTTGCTTTATGCCCGATCTGTGGCTTTCTCATGAGCAAAGTCGCGGTCTGAGCTTTCCGCTCACATCCTCATGGCTCCTTCCTACACTCTGGGAATCGACCGCTGCGCAAAAGCATGATTTGCAAGCGTGCATGTGTAGCATAGGGACCGAAGGCAAAAAAAAGCAAAAACCCTGGGCCCTAGGAGCATGGACCTCTGAGCTGCTAGATTTTTTTTTCTGTTAATCTTGTGCCTTGATTTCCCCTATCCCATTCTGCCAGTGGGGGGAACCAGTCCCTGCACTTTAAACTTCCCGTCTAGTAAAGGCCTCTCCCAACCTGCTCCTTCCCCACTTGGTGAATGAATGACCTTGCCGCCTTGTCCCACTCTATGCCCAACAAGGCCCAGCTTCCCTCTGCACAAACCAGCCCACCCCCCTTCTTGTCATCTCCTGCATCACGCTTGCCCCACCCAGCCTTCCCACCATGCTGGAAGAGGAAGAGGAAAGCAGCTGGCTGCCTCAAGAGACCTAGTAGAGTAGACTGTAGATGAGCCTCAAAACCTTTGTCTCTCCTAAATGCTGGCATCTTTTTTTATTAAAACAAAAACAAGCTCCACCATCCAAAACTCTTTGCCTGCCGATTCCATGCTTGCATCAAAACCCCGTCCTCCTTGGAAGTTGTTGGTGCTATTTGGGGGAGGAAAATAAAATAAACCCGGTTCAGAACGTCCCTTCATTTTTATGCACACCAGTTCCAGTTTGTTTGTTTTTTGTCATTCTTAGCTACACATCTACCTCACATGTACTTGCAGTTCATTTGTACATCCTGAACCGGCAAACTGCACCTTCTCCAGGGGGGGCGAGTTCCCCCACCTCACCCTTAGAAAACCCTCTGGGCTCCTCTGCTTTGTTTCAAGGGGGTAGGTGGAAGAGAAATGTTTGTCTTTAAAAAAAAAAAAAAGATTAATAACCCCTGTGTTGCTGCTAATTACTGGAGAGTTTTGTTAAGATGTACCACATTTTGCTTTTTTAAAATTTCCTTTGTAAAGTGTGTTGACGCTGCATTAGTTCGTTTCTTTGAACTTGAGCAGAAATCTTTGGCCCACAGGTAGGGCACAGTTTTGTGACCTCAGTGTGCGACCCCCAAGCATGGCAAGAATTCATAAGTGATGAATGCTGCAATGTTTCCACCTAGAAGTCCAGGAATGGCATAAGCCATTGTTGGTTTTCAAAGCAGCCTTTTTTATTTTTAAAAGGGCTCGCTGAAGCAAAACAGTGGATTTATTTGGACCCCCTGGGAGCAGTTGAACGGTCAAAAGTCACAGCACAAGGGATCTTGCCTTTAAACCAGCCTGCCATGAACAGGCTTTCAGACTCCATACTCTGGGGCTCTAGCTAAATACTGAGTTTGCAGGAATTTGGTTTCCGTAAGAGAAAGGAAAACCACTGGCCCCAGGTTATGCAGGTGGTGACTGCAAAACAACAAACTGAACTAGCAACGATCCCGTTAGCAAAAGATACTTGAGGGAATGAACTCTTTGCCTTGGGCCATGGCTTGCAGAATCAAAATGAGCAGAGGTCAACAAAATTTGGTGGGGTTAGAGTACTTTTGGTATTGCTGTGCTGTTAGAATGTCTAGTACTGGCTCACTGGATAGGGAGCTGGATGTGTTTGTCTATGATACAGGATGGCTGCTCTAAGCTGCCCAAAAGTGATTGCACAGCCAAGTAAGACACTTCTGAGCTAATGGCTGTCAAACAGCAGCTGTTGCTCTTTGGGGAGCCTCTTCTATCCAGAAGGAAGTGATGCTCTTGACAAATACCAATACCTCAACTCAAAACACACATGTACCCAGCACCATCAAAGCAGACAGTGGGATGGAGGCAACACCAAACATGCTGGCAAATATTCCAAGCCAATTCTATTCCAGCAGGGCCCAAGGTTGCGCTGTGGCCTCCTGCTTCCGTTTTTGCCACGTATTTCCTCTGTCAGAGGCAGTACCCCTAGAGCTGTTGGCGATTGTGAGTTGGGCAAAAGGAGAAAAGTCAACGTTTCGTCTTCCAGAAATCTCTCTTTTTGTCTGTCCAGGAGCTAAAACAGTCTACGCTACTAACATTCTGAGTGGCAAAAAAAGAAGTGAGGGTCAGTAACAAGTGTTTCCTCGAAATAATTTAGGATCGCACCAGAATAACATTTTATTTTTTAAAGAAAGGGTTTTCTTGATTGCAGAGCACTTGGTGTTCTTCAGCTTTGCCTTCCCGTCTCTAGGAGGAAGCTCTGGCGGGGATTCCAGCTCTGCTTGGAGCTAACGCAAGGCCCAATCCACCCCATACCTTGGGACAAAGTTCATAGCTTGTCGGCACTTTCCTCTGGAGCAATACGCCCTTGGTGGTTCAGATGGTTTGCACTGATGCCTTGCCCTGTAGCAAATGGCCTTTAAAGCAGATAGCAATAGGCACCCACTCTTAAGAAATACCCATCTCATGCTGGTTCATGTCTACAGCAGGCTACAGGCTAGTGTGTTTTTTAACACCCAAGTTCGTCATCATAACATTGGAACATAACAGCTAAATTGTTGCTTTAAAAACACTTACCACCACATGCTTGCCATGGATGTAAACGAGTCTCCTGTAAACATGCATTTGGCACTCTGGAGCGATGCCTCTGCCCTGTTTCTGACTCAAGTCATTCAAAGCTCCCGGGAACTCTCCAAAGGCAAATCTTCTGTGCTTCCATTTGCCGCAGACACAGCGAGAGTTCTTGGCCCGCCCGCAACCACAGTCTCAGTTCATTTTACCGGCTAGTTTTATTTATATACTTAGGACTATTTGTACAAGTTTTTTTTAATTGAGAAGTTTCTATAGTTTTGTATCTTCCATGCTACAGCCAGGCCTGTTTCTCTCTCTCAACCCCTGTACACCTTTCCCTCTGTGGAGCTCTGACTGGTCTCATTTTGAACAAATTTTTGTTTTTAAATAAAAGGTGAAAAAAAAACGTGGCTTGACTGCTTCTTGGAATGATAAGGTACTTTTAGCTCGTCGTCATCATTAAGCAGTTTCAAGGAGATGCTGGTCATTCTCTCCCTATTAAAGCGATTTAAGACAAAATATGTTGTCATAATGATTTTCAAACTATGTTCCAGGAAACTCTTGAGGTTCTGTGGAAATTTCTTGGGGACAAGGTTAAGGATGGTGGACCAGTGTTGCTGGCAGACAACTTCACCAGCTCTACTGACCCTTTCACTAGTAGCGGGATTGCTACCAATGAAGAGTACCCAATAAATTCAACCAGTCTTTTCCCTGGGAGCGGCTATTTGCAATCATCAGATGTATTCTAGATATACTCTGAAATGTGTGGGGCATATTGGAAGGCCAGGTCCCCTGTGAACTGGCAATCTGCTCTAGAACACCTTGGCAATGTAGACAGCAAGATTCCCTGAAGTGGTGGAGCACTGGAAAGTCAAGAGTTTCAACACAATTGAACTATCCTATTATGCACAAGAGGTTCATGTTAAACAGTAGTAAAAAGGCTGCCCCCCCCTTGAAATGTATGCTTGCTGCGAAGGCTGTTTCCCCCCAACTTGGAACTGAGGACTAATCCACAATCTAAGAAATGGTTGTGTGTGAAGTTTTGGTTTACCTAGAAGCTGATGTCTGCATCCAGCACAATAGTCTGTAGCCCAGCCAACTGTTAAAGGTCTTCATCTCAGCTTCTTAAGATTGCAAAAAAAAGGGGAGGTGGGGCGGTGGAGCTACTTGAGAACTCTTTCTGCAAGCTACAAACAAAATTGCAATTGACTTTCCATACTGTGGTGGTTACTAAACTTTTTCTGTATGTTCATTTTACCATTTTCTATACACACTAATGGGAGTAGCAACTGCCTTACCATGGAGGTAAAGAGAGGCTCAGGCTATGGGACTTTGGGTGCCATTCAAACCCACAGAATTTAAGATTTCTGAAAACTACAATATCTCTGCAAGATGTTGCTGGGATAGTTCACTGCATCCCAGCCTCATCAAAATGTCACTGCCCTAAAGCACCAAATTTCAAAAGCCTCCATGAAATGTAGCCTGCTATCATGTTGGAAACATTTCTCTTCACCACAGCTGGAGAAGCCTGGCTGATATTTTGGGTTTTTCCACCTCAGATGACAAATTAAAAGTAGATAAGGCTGGGCTGGATTCCCGTTGTAGAGACTGGGCCTTCCTCCATGTAGGATCCACACAGCTCTAATTTAAGCTATACGTACAGGGTCCCTTTACCTTTTACACCCAAGGTGGAGATGGCGTCCTCTTTAGAAATCACAGAATTCTAGAGTTGGAAGGGACCCTGATAATCTCATCCAACCCCCTGCAACGCATGCAGGAATATGCAGCTGTCCTATATGGGGATCGAACCTGCAACCTTGGCATTGTCAGCATCATGCTCTAACCAACTGAGCTACCCAGGCGCACAAAACACAGCTGGCCTGTATAAACAACACCCAACTGGTAGACCAGGGGTACCAATGCCATGAAACATTCAGTGACCTCACCTGTACGGATCATGCAATTTGGAAGGAACTGGTCCACCAGGAACCCCCACTCGCCATCCTGCCTAAATTCTGCTGTATCACAATGGAATCATAGACTACAGACGCACCTGCCCAGTCTCTACTTCAACATTAAGAGTGTGTGTTGTTGTTGTTTTAAAAAAACAACGACGCATCTTCAAGCTTTCTGGCACCCATTGCAGAGGTCCACATCTTAACAGGGTACTGAGGCAGGTTGCCAAAGAGCAGGAGGGGGAACAAGTCCATGTCTAGAGTGGTTAATGTTCAGCTTGTAGCAGAGCAACGCCCCTCCCCTCCCGCCCCGAGAAAAAGACAACATTCTCAAGCACATTCTTCTCTATCAAACGTGGGTTGTTTTTTTGTTTATTCTTTGAAACTTGACAAGCACTCTAACATCTGTACTTGTGGAAACATCACAAGGAAACAAACAGGAATTCTAGATTTTTTTTCTTCCTTTTAAACCTTATTAAAAATGAGGTTGGTCCTAAAAATATAGAAAGAAATCAATTTAAATTCACAAAAAACTGTACATTATCAAAAATTCACTAAAACAAACACATTTGGTTATTCATATAAAAAGTGTGATGCCCCTCTTCCTGCTGTTCAGAGCATCTCACAGGATGTTGGGTTGGTTGGTTCCTTTCTGATATCAAATCAAGATGAAGGGGGAAGAAAAAGCCAGTAGTTGGATGATAAGGCCAATTATTCTAGTTGCAATTCTCAAAATCCAGTTGGGGGGAAAAATGCATGTAACTTTCAAAAAACAACAAGGTATTTTATACACTGACTCCCCTAATGAAGATCAAGATTAGGACAAACCTGGATTCATTCTTTTAAGGTGTGAGGGTTTGAATCTAAAAATTTTAACATTTCCATAACAAAACAAAACAAAAGCCCAACAATTAACACTTCCAAACTTTCTCATAGCTGAGAAAAAAATCCCAACAGATCGGGGGGGGGGGGAAACATTACTTTAAAAAAAAAACCCACCAAAAAGAAGCTGTTACAGCACAAGTTTAGATAAAATATAAATATTTATGCATAATATAAAGTCAGTTTCAAATAGACTTCAAATCTACCTCTTTATTTTAAAAGCAAAAACAAAACAAAACAAAAACCCCAAAATTTAAAATAAAATAAAGTTTGAGGTTATTTGATAGAAAAAGGCTACGTTTTGTTGAAAACAACTGGGGGTGGGGAGTGAGGTTGGGGTAGAGGAAGCACAGTAAGGGAGGTTTCAGTCTCCAGGCTACATCACCTGTGGCTGCATTTTACTTACATCAGTGCTCTTGCAACTGGATTGGTCGACGCGGGGAGGGGGGAAACACAAACACACACACACACACCCCTCATTCAATTGTAGCACAGGTGGAAATGCGGGAGGAAAGCCATCTCCTGATGGGACCCTGCCAGCCGTTTATCTGCCCCTAAGTGATACCCGTAATTTACAATGGTTTGAGGAGCTAGGCTGGGTATGAAAAGCAGCTAGGGAGTTAAGGTTACAGGAGATGGCCTTCCTACCACTCCGATCCACCTGGGTGGTGGAAGAAAAGTGAAAGAAACAAGTCGTTTCCTCTTTTATCTCTCCTATATGCCTCCTATGCATCTGCACCACGGCCAAGAATACAGCATCCTGAAACAGACTGGAGAAAAACCAACGGCAGCAACGCCCCTGTTCCAGGACAGAGGCAGCTGGGGTGGACTAGGATGTAAGCCTATGACTCCTGAATACAATAAGGGTCGGGTGAATCTGTTTCCCAGACAGCAGTCTCCTTAGAAACCATTGCTCAGCAACAGTGTGAGGCTGGTGCTTTGGAACCAGGTTATTACTTTGAATACAGATTGCTAGTAGGCATCCGTGCACCATGAGGGGGGTGACTGATGGAGAGTTGCTGAATTGCAAGAAACGAGATGACCAATTATGCTTGTTAACAACTGCCTTGTGGACTGTTTGGGGTATTTTTCTTTTTAAAAAGGCTAGAGACCTAAACATGTATTTTTAAAGACTTTGTTAAAACCGCATTCCCTCTTGCACCAAGTGCGAGCGGCAAGGATCACCTGGCTTCAGCCACAAATATTTGAATCTGCCAAGCGCTTAGCACCAGAAACCCAAATACAGAAAGTATCACAACTGCTTATTCGCATCAGGCTCCTTCTCATGCTTTAATATAGGTGGGATAGCAAAGAATCCAACACCTGGACATTCATCTCCATGGGAGCTTGTGCAAGAGCTGTTCTCGGTGGACTGTGCGGGTTCTTAAATCATTCCCCAAAGCTGGAGCAATCCATTGCTTCAATGGAACAGGGCCTGGGGGTCGGACCCTCTACAGACCGCTCTATACCTGCTCAGGCAGCTTCAAAACAAATTCTGGTTTTGGTGGTTCTGGCACGGGAGTTAATGGTAGTTCATTGAAAGAGGCTACTCTTGCCCACGTGGCAAAAATAACGACGAATGGAACCGCGATTATTTCTCCTCTGAAAACCATCAAAATCCAGTTGGAAAAGGGTTTAGAAAAAAGGCTAAAATGTTAAGAATGTTCACATGGGGTATGTATGAGTGGCGATCTAAGGTAAAATACTATATAGAAAATGTAGACAAAAGCTGAAAGTAAATACCTATGAATTCCAGATCTTTAGATTGAGGGCAGCTGTGGACATCCTGCAAGGCCATAGTTGGTGGAAGGATGAGCTTCGTCCTTTCATGCTTCTAGCATGTGCCCTACACAGCGCCATGCACCTCAAGAAGACACACAAGTGACTACTCTCCCTTCACTTGCATGTAATGTCCAAAGCTGCCCTTCTAGATTGAATCTCAGTCAAGGTAACCAAAGGAGGCAGCACGATTTAGACCCCACAGGTTAAAAATATGGTCAGGAGACAGGAACCTAACATGGAGGAAGATGAAATGGTGGCAGTTTTCCCTCCCTTCTAATGGGCTTAATCCCACATCTTGTCTCAAGGAGGAAATACCTACGACAGTTTGGGAATGGTGTTCCGAGGCAGGAAACAACAATCCTACCAAACGTACAGATAGATTGCAGATCAAACTTTGTAGACAGTAGCCATCCCTGAGGAATAACGCTGGGGCAGAGTTGGGGGGCGGGGGACAGGGTGGGGACAACACTCAATAAGGCCAGAATCCCATGACATGATCTTCTGAAGAGCTGGAAGGGGGCATCAGAAAATCCTTCCTCCCAAAACGCAGGTTACATCAACCCCACTCCTGCAAGCTCCTTTACTTTGGTCCCTTGAAGCCTAGTGATACAATCCAGCAATGTTACCCACAACTAAGAGGGGGAAATGAGCTGTATTCTTGCAGCTGAGACTTGGGCACCGCAATGGACTCATGAGCTGCCCCTGCTGAAGTGTTCCCTGTGGAATCAGGGGTGGGGAAGAGGCTAGCAGGAAGGTTCATCCAGCTAAACTGTGGTTTGCATGAGGGGGGATTATCTGGTTGATACTGTCTTCTTGGTACACACTCGTTCTGGATTATTCCCATTTTGTTCAACTCCCTTAGAAACTAAATCTGGAATAAACCAATATTGAGCAGAGGGGGGGGGGTGATGTAGATTAACCAAATATAGGAATGCAAGATCCCAATTTCATATGAAGAGCTCAAGCTATGACCACCCCTCTGGAAGCAGCCCATCTTAGTTGAACCAAGAGAATGTGGCTCACAGGGGTGAGACCCTTGAGATGGGAGTACATCTTGCATTCACATGGGCAGAAGTACCTCGACATCCTAACTCCTCCAGATGAACACCAGCTCTAAGCCATATACCCTTGGTTTCAGAAAGATCATTGGAAACTGGGGGAAGGAACCGTCCACGGCTACAGTGGTTGTTCAGCAGTGGTGGGGAGAAGAGGCCGGTTGAGACAGAGTTGGAAAGGGCAAAGGGGTGGGGGTGGGGGGTAGAAGCAGCATGTTTCAGTGTCATCAAGGTTGTCATTCCCAGAGGCAGGAGTGATCTGCTTTATACATTTTCAACGCGACTCTAAAAAGGAGAAAAACTTAACGTTCACGTTACTGGCCATTAATGCATGGTACTGACACTGCACAGAAAAAAGTGTTCTTACACATTCACTAAGAACTATTGCTATTATTAAATAGCCCCAGCTAAGCTGGGGTTGTGGGTGGTTGTTTCTCCATTTGAAAAAAAGGAAACTTTTTTTTTCTTTTTTGGCTTACACAGTTCAGAGAGTTTGTGTTGTTTAGAGCGAAGAAGTGAGGGGGGGGGGCTTCTGAGGATCCAGGCGGCGAGTGAAGCCGCCCCATCGTTAAATGCCAATCCAAGTCCAATCATTGTGAGAGGGGGAAACGTTAATCAGCAGGTAGCAAGATGGAGCTCCAAAAGAGACAGTGTGCAGCACAGGGTTTTGAAATGGGAGGGCTTCGCCTTTGGCTCCTCTCATCTCTCCCCATTCTGCCGGCTTCATGGGTTTGTCTCCTGTTTTCCCTGATAAAACTCCTCCCACCGGCTCTCAAAAAACTGGCGCATGGTCAGCCCTGCCTTGCCCACCTCGGACTCATCCTCATTAAAGGTCCGGCAGTTGTCGAACACCAGGGCAGCATCAGCAGCAAACTCCTCACAACTTGTGTACCTGCAGAGGACAAAGAGAGCAGCAGTCAGCTTCCTGGAAGCAGCTAAGTCCAGCACTCAGACAGAAACTGCAGGCGCCCTGCAACACCACAATCCCATCCCTTGGTGGTGAGGGCAGTCTCAATGCACACTGCTTTAGCCAGCTCTTAATTACTGTGAATCAACCCTCCTCTCAAGCTCTCCCCTCCCCTTCCTTCATTTCTTCCCAATGGCTAGAATGCAGGGGCAGATTATCATCATGTTATTACATTTATACTACAACTTTCCTCCAAGTAGTGCACCTTTTCCCTGTTCTACCTCCACAACAACCCCTGTGAGGTAGGGTCTAGTCTTAAGTCACCTAGTGAGCTTCATAACTTAGTGGGGATCGTGTTTTTTGACTAAGCACTCAATAGTTCAGTTGATTAGAACGTAGTGCTGATAACGCCAAGGTTGCAGGTTCAATCCTTGTATGGGACAGCTGCATATTCCTGCATGCATTGCAGGGGATTGGACTAGATGATCCTTAAGGGTCCTTTCCAACTGTACAATTCTATGATTTGACACCTGATCTCCCAGGCTCCAGTCCAACGCTACATTGCACCAGTTTCTTTTTCAACAGCAGTAAGCTATGGCGTAATTTGGATTTGGGACCTGTCAACTGTAGGAATGACTACAGGACAGCAGTAAGGCATGTATACATTTGGGACAATTCCACCAGTCTCTCCCTTGCTTGGGCTACCACCATTTGCAGGTGTCATTAGGAAAGGGAGGAGGCTGCTGAGCTTGAGCAGCTAGCGGCAGGCTAATTTACAGGAAGGTTTCTCAAGTCTGAGACCTTAATTTACACTGTAAGAAACAGAAAGGAAAGATCTTGTGGCATCTTAAGAACTAACACAAATTTATTTGTGGTGTAAGCTTTCATGAGCAAGAGTCCAGTTCATCAGATGTAGGTGCTTTCCAAGTTGGCAAGTATATACACATGGGTGTGGAAGGGGGGCAAATAAAGCTGTGACATCAGAGGGAAATAAATTTCTAAATGTACAGACTGTGACAATTCTGATGAAACTTAAATGTAGTTCGATCTTGCATATACAGTGGTGCCTCGGGTTAAGAACTTAATTAATTCTGGAGGTCTATCTTAAGCAGAAACTCTTCTCTACCTGAGACACCACTTTAGCTAATGGGGCCTCCCACTGCCGCCAGAACACGATTTCTGTTCTCATCCTGAAGCAAAGTTCCTAACCTCAAGTACTATTTCTCGGTTAGTGGAGTCTGTAACCTGAAGCGTCTGTATCCCGAGGTACCACTGTATATTCCTGCCAATGTGGGGCAATGCTCCATACATCCAGACTCCGGTCCACAAAATCTCATGCATTAATAAAGGGGTTAGTTTTCAAGATGCTACAACACTCTTGGATGGTTTTTCTGAAGCAGACAGATACAGCTACTACCCTTCAAGATTTTTATTTTTTTAAAATCTCTTCCAATATCGTGCCCAGGTGGTGGATAAAACACCGTGCCTTTTTTCTAAAAAGCCTTAACTCAAATTTTGCGTGACTGCAAGGGACACCAGCTTTGCGATCACTACCTCTCTGCCATTCCTACATCACAACGCTTGACCTCCCCAAGGCAGGCCTCGTCACACACTCCTTTCCCTGCGCAGCATCACCTTTCCCTCAGTAAGCCCTCTGGAGACCTCAAGTTTAGTAACTGCAAAAGAAACCAGGCCCAAGGGCTGTGGAATACTGCATGGGACCACCATAAGGCGTGTGCTATCTCCACCTGCACAAAACTACCCCATTTGTAGCACACAAAACCCTCCAACCAGGACCAACCCCCACAATTAGAAAGGGGTTGTGTGAGCGCCATTTGGATTTGCAAATGCCTTGAGCTGGCCCCGCCACCAGCATGCTCCCTCTCTGGACTCACCCGCCGCGCAGCAGCCGTGCCCTCATGGTGGCGAAGTCCATAGGGTTTTTGATGATTTTCCGATAGCCAGGCACTAGCCGGGGGTTAACTGGTTCCAAGAAAGGCCAGGCAGCTTCATGTGATTCCATCTCCATCAGGATGATCCTGACAAAAAGGGGCCAATGTAAGAGTCAGGGCTAAAGAAACTGGAGAGCTTATTGGTCAAGCTGAGAAGGCCTCCCAAGGAGCAAGAGGAGCCCTAGAGGGGATTTACTGACACTCTAACCAAATTATTTGGATCATTCATGCACCGCCTACTAACCGAAGAGGTTCTTGCGGCAGCTTACTAATGCAAGGGTTGCTATAGTGGGCAAACATATACACAAGTTTCCGCCTCCAATGCCCCTCTGCTTCTGAATCTCTGAGCCACAGCACATCTGAGAGGAAACAGCTGCTGCAGAAGCCCAATGTAAGTCCCTCACAGAGTGGGGCTGCTTCACCCCATGTCCACTGTGGATGTCTCTCTGCGTGGCAGATGCAAAAAGCCCAGGGAAAGCAAATGGGATTTACAAGCCTTCCACAGCCCTCAGATGCTCCAGGTGCCACTCTGCTTCTGAATCTCTGGGCCACAGCAAGTCTTAGAGCAAATGGTCCTTTCTCTTCTCCAGTCAAACCTAACTGAAAGCTTATCCCTATGGCATATTCTGCTCCACACCCATCTCCCCTAGACACCAACTCCGAGGTGACACCTACTCGCAGAAGGTGAGGTCGGCACTCTGGCCTCGTGTAGACACTCTTCTTCGCTTGGAAGGAGACAGGCCTTCACCCGAGTATCGGGGCGGTACGTTGGCCAGGTTACTGCGCTGCTGGTTTGCTGCGGACCGAGATCGGGGCCTGAGCTCCTCCTTTCCAAAAAAAGCCCCAGAACTTCCACCTTTTCTTTTCTTGCCGCGTCGTGGAGAGCCATAGTCATCCTGGTATTCTCTTTGCATCTGTACCATAGAGAAATTGGAGGGGCGACAGGGATGTGTGTGTGAGAGAGAGGGAAGTAAAGAACCATAAACTGGTGAATTTAGGAATCCCACTTCAGGGAAGGGTTTCCCAAAGGCAGCACAAAAGGCCTAGAGCTATCTGCTAGGGATACCGCGCGGTCCCACACTGTTGCGCCCCCACACACTCCAACATTCAACACTCCCTCCCTTGGAATGCATCTCAGTACAAATTGTGGAGCAAAGGAAGCCCTGCCAATCAAGGAGGAAATATCAAAGAGTTTGGGATGGGACAGATTCTAGCCCACATGGAGCCAGCACCTGAGCGATGCAGAGGGAGCAGAACCAGTCACCGGCCGGCACCTCGGTCATCTTGGGCCGGTGGCAGTAGAGGTGGCAGCCACGATCGCAGCTATCGCATAGCAGCAGGTTCTCATCATCATCCCCTTTCCGGCACACTAGGCAAGTCTGAAGGGCAGGGAGAACAAGGAGGGGTGAGGACCAGCACCACATTCAGAGGTCCAAGGCCAAAGTTGAGCTCCGAGAGCTCTCCCTTTTCCCTTGTCCCCAAATTGAGCTCCTTCCCAGCTAGATTCATCCAAGCCACGGCTCTGCTCTGCTCTAGCCAACCCCTTTGGAACAGAGAGATCTTTCTGCAGATCCCACAGCTGCTTCATCTCCTCCTAGTACAGGATTCAGCACACATGTGCCTCTGAAGGCCACACAAGGAGGATCAACTCTCTTCTCTGCACCAGGGATTTCACAAGTTACCTATGTTCCCTTTGATTTCTTCATTTAGGCTTCCTTCTATTTCCTACCCCCAACCCAGTGCTCCTTCCTCACCGCTCTGACAACGGACTTCTCCCAGGCAACAGAACGCTCCAGCTGGTAGATGCACAGAGAAACTTGGGCTGCACTATGGCATCTCTCCAAGGTCTGGCGCCACGTTCGCATCCGCGGTGTGATCTCGTATGAACTGCAGAAGAAAAAAAATAGCAATCCATTAAGATGGGGGGAAGTCAATCCTGCCCAGCAAAGGAAATTCTTCACTTGGAGTCTCTTGGGGCCATTCCAAATGGAAACATACTGTGAGAGATGGCAGGCCTTTGGCGCATCATCTGAAGCTCCAGGATGGAATCGTCAGGGGAATCTATAACTTCTGGCTCAGAGTCTTACTGCTCTAAACCACCTACATCCCTGTTATATTTAGTTCTCATTAACGTCCATCGTCGCCTAGCTCATAAGCATGCTAGGTAAACATTAGAAATCTGGTGAACTTTGACATTTATTGTTGAGCCTCAAAGACTTAAGTAGGCCCAAAAGGAAATCTAACAGTAGCCTTAAGTTCAAATCATTCTCATTTCCAGCATATGCAGCAAAAAGGATATTTATCATACCTCAGGCCTGATTCTTGCCAATAAGATTTCTGACATTTCCTGCTGGGCCTTGTAAAACCCAGACTTACTGGTAAATGTCAACATTCACCAGATTTCTCACTTTTGCTGCAATGCATACATTTAGCACTTTCTATTGCCTTAAAAGCCTCATGTCAAAACAGCCAACAGCAGCAGCTTTTTTCCTTTCATCTTAATATCTTCTCAATGCAATCAGACCTGGAATTTATCAGGACTCCTGCCCCAACAAAGTCCATATTCTCCCATTTCCACAAGAGGTTTTTAAAATGTTAGTTCCTGTGGGTTTTTACTATTTTACTTTAATGTAAACTGATTTAGGAGTCCCTGGGTTAAAAGGAAAGGTATAAAAAAAGCTTTTTATAAATAGTGAGACGACCCTGATTCTCAGAGTTAGGAGTAAGGCCCTGGCAATTCAGTCAACAGTAAAAGAATACACCTACATTTCTGTGGTACCCAGCTCAAGGTTACTGGGGTTACTCAGCAAAGCTTTTTCTACCACCACCTCGTGAGGAGGCCAGAGGGGCTCTCTGAGGTATCTCCGCTCCAAGTTTTGCTCTAGCTCTGTCAGGCGAAGCACAGCTAGGTCTAAAGGGTTGGTGGTTTCACGCTTCATAGCTGGTCCTTCACGCCGGTTTTTTATGGTGATGTCTTCTAGAAGCTCCAGCTGATGCTCACAGTACTGCAAGTCATTCCGAACAGAATCAGGTTCTGGACTTGTCCAGCCCTGGGGGCGAGGTGGAAACACAACAAAGCAAAAACATGAGATCAGGGCATGGCAGGAAGAAGAGGTGGTATGACACACTCTGGGAACCCCAGATGCATTTGCAAATCTTCTTTCCATGTACCAACCGAAACCAGTTCCTGTAGGTACAGTGGTGCCCCACAAGACGAATGCCTCACAAGACGAAAAACCCGCTAGACGAAAGGGTTTTCCGTTTTTGAGTTGCTTCGCAAGACGAATTTCCCTATGGGCTTGCTTCGCAAGACGAAAATGTCTTGCGAGTCTCGCCATATTTTTTCCGCTTCCCCTTTTTCTAAGCCGCTAAGCCGCTAATAGCCTTTTAGCAGCTAAGCCGCTAAGCCTTTAATAGTCACTAAGCCGCTAAACCGCTAATAGCGCTAATCCGCTTAGCCGCTAATGGGGTTGCTTTGCAAGACGAAAAAACCGCTAGACGAAGAGAATCGCGGAACGGATTAATTTCGTCTTGCGAGGCACCACTGTACACAGTTTTCAAGGTTGTGCTACTCCCGTTGCCAATGAAAAATATTTGTACCAAATAATGATGGTGCCTCTGTCACAGATGTGCAAAGGAGTCCCCATGTACCAGAACACTCACAGTCTTAAGATAACCCATCAAAACGAGGAAGCCTGAATCATCATATGTACATGGACCTCTAAAGGTGCCACAACAAAAAAAGAGAAGTCTTTGCTCTCAAATTGATTAGCTTTCTGCAGGGCAGTGTAGCTGCAAAGGTGCCAGCTGGGGAGTAATGCCCACATGCAAGAATGGAAATGCCAAGGTAGGATTTTAAGGTGACCTGGGTCATTTCTCTCCTCAGTTTTCCAACTCCAGAAACAAGGAAAGATCTCAGTGTATGTTTTGAATTGGTACGGCAGATCTAGAGATTACCAGGCACCCCCCCAAGGTGATCTGTGCAATGTGAGGCTCTCCCCCACCCCGCCTACAATAATAAGAGTTATCAGGAGGGACTCAGCCTACCCTTGATCTTGGTACCTACTCGGATCTGCAGATCAGCCATGAGTACCCGCTGCTCCAGCTCCTCCACCCACTGCAGAACAGACAGGTCTGCCTCAAAGGCCCGCTCAGCCATCGACCACTGGGCCAAGGTTTCCTGAGAGACAGGGTGGGAGGAATCCTCAGGATGGGTCTGGAAGATGGGATCTAGGTGAGAAGGCCAGAAAAGTCCATTAGAGAAGTTAGGGATGTGGCTCCCTGCCTCACTCCAGCCATACGATGAGAAGTTCTTACCATTGGCAGCTCGGGCACACACCTCCCGTAGGTACTCCTTGTGCTTGATAAGGTGCTTGTGCAGGGCTTTCTCGCGGATCCCTCGTGGGTGCAGTACCTGCACCACGGCTTCCAGCTCTTCTGGATCCTGCAGCCACCACCAGCCACTCTGCATCTCTGCAAGGAAGAGAAGAATGGGGAGGGAGAGGTGAAGCAGCTCAGAGTCTGGGCCACTGAATAAGCCACCGTTTCCGCACAGCATGCCTGTTAGCTCCCAAAGTCTGCACTCTGGGTCTTGTGTCAGGTCAGCGTGCACATGAGGAACTGCACATCAGCAGCTTTCAAGGTTCAGGAAGCCTTTAAGTAATGTGGAAGACAACCATATCTAGTGCAGTACTTGAGGGGCTTGTCCTTAAGAACAGAATTTTTAGTCCTCATGGGGAAAACGTGAAACTGCATTGGCAGTTTCTACAAGGTCTTACAGACACTGTGGGGTGATGCTTCCAGGGGTTAGGAGATGCCTATGGTCACTCACGGCGGAGTCTTACAAATGGCAAACCATTTCATCTTCCCTCTCAATCCTTTTCCAACCCATGGTATCAATAACTTCAGAGTGCGCACATAGTACAAATTATACAGAAGAAAAGGAGATGTAAGTTTCCCTCACCTGGAGGTATAGGCTGTGCTGTCAACTGTGTCAAATATTTCTGCTCAATTTGCTTGAAGAGTTTTGTAGGGGGGCGCCCTCGACGTCTCGGCTGCCCTAGAGGTTCCTGGGCTTTAACGGGGACGTCCTTGGCTCTTGAGGAGCAAGTACTGTGAATCCTGGAGCTGGAATGGAGAGGGGTGGAGGCCAGCTGTGGCAATGCTGGGCTGGCGGTGGAAAGGCCATTCAGCTGTGGAGAGGGAAAGATCAGGATGCATCAGACAAGGCATGAGCTCTAACAGGGCTTTAAAGTCAATCTTCTAGTGGAGTTGCCATCTGCTCAAGGAGCTGCCTGGCTGTTTTTTCAATCATGCCAACACTTACAGGTTACTATGTGGGCTTGAAAAAAATCAGCTGCTACCTTATCTGAAGTCATTTGTTGTCTTATTGCTAGCTATTATATACGAGTGGAAGGCACCAGGGAATGGTGTATATTAGCAGGGAAAGAGGATAACTAGATAGAGGACAATGAGATCAACAAAGGATCTTATAGTTTATCTATACCAAGTTGTGTCCCGAGGCAAGACAATCTTATAACCTAAAGCATCTCTGAGAGATGCCACTTCCACTTTTGCCTTGAAAGCTTCGCAGGAAGAGATCTACCCACTCAACGAGAAAGCTCATTCTAAATGACTTTTCACGGTTAGGAAATCCTTCCTGATGACAACTCTAAATCTACCTCTTGAATTCTAATCTATTACTTTTTGTCCAGTTCTCTATGAACAGTAGTTTCCAGACCGCTTCCTGTCTGATAGTTCCTACCTTGGACAGATAAGAAATGCAGAGCAATTCAGAAATAGCATTACCACCAACCCCATGCCCCATGGAAACAGACCACTCACAGGGAACTGTCCCCAGGATTCAGGTAAAGGCCCTGCATTCAATTCCTTGTATTAATGCAGACACCATGTCCTTTGCTCCTCCACTGACCCAGGATTGGAGCTTGCATTTCCTGGTAATGAAAGGTCTCTAGACGACACTCACCTGCCGGGTCGAGGCCTTTGACTGGTCCCTGGTCGGGGGCTTGCAGGTATGGGGGGCAGCTTTTATAGAGGGTTGTTCAACGGAGGTAGTAATTGGAGAGTCATTACAGGGTGGCCGGGGCAGTATATTGAACCAGGCAACCTGTGTTTCTGTGGCACTTTCATCCTCTGCGGCAGAGTCTGGCAGCTCATCTGGGGGTAAGGGGTCCCCTTTGCCAGGGCTGCTGTCTGGGGTAAGCACAGAACTGTTGAGCAGCGAGGATGCCTGCTGTGTCTGGCTGAGCCAGGACAGGAAGGCCGACTGGCTGAGGTCATGCTGGGATTGGCCCATGGGCACACAATCCTCCAAAAATCCATTGACAGACATGGGGGCGGGCTCTGGCAACTTGGGCTCCGACGACTCAGGCAGCAGCATATTGTCCCTCCACGGCCGGCTCCATGACCAAGAAGTTGTGCCGTTTACGTAATCAGTAACCGGTGGAGTCTCAGTGGTCTCTTGTTTGATGGGCAATGCCTCAGGTTCTTCCTCCTTCAGGGCCTCTTCCTTCTCTGGCATGTTCTTGGGTGTCTCAGGGGAAGCTGCTTGGGAGGCAACAAAAATGGTATCTCCCTAGGTTTCGCCACAAGATGGTGCTAAAAGCTTATCTCAAAAATACAATGTCAGGGGTGGGTGCGGGGAGAACCTGTGGCCCTCCAGATGCTCTTCCATCAGCTCCAAGCAGCATGGCTGATGGTTAGAGATGATGGGAGTTGGGAGGGTCCAATGTCACCTAAAGGGCCACCGCTTCCTCATCTCTGTATGGAGTGAAGGAGGCAAGCACAAGTACAGCAGATCTTTTTTCTTTTGGAAAGTATCTTCCCTGCCTCCACCCCCTGACTGCAAGGTAAACACTGATTCAAATCACTTCTGGATGTGTGTGCAGCTTTCTTAAGCGGGTAGAACAATGAGAGAAAAAGCCACTAGCGTATAAAAGATCAAGCATCAGCTTTTCAACAAAGGAGTCATTGGCCAAATGTTATATACAGCTGAAGTCTAAAGTGCGATTTGGTTCGCAGATATAATGCCCTATTAAATTACTCCACCCATCCATATATCTCACATGCTGCCTCTGCACCCTCAGCAAACTTCAGTCAAATTGGCATTTCAATTTAAAAAGTGAAATGTGGCCCACAGATTTAAAAACAGACACAAAACCCTCCTGGCTCCACGTCCCACTTCTACTCTGGTCTTCTTGCCCCAAATTCTGAGCTGTCCCACGGCTCTTTCTAATTAGCCCATTAATTCTGATCTATTTTGCCAGCTGCAACAATCCTTGTGGCCCAAAGTTCTGAGGAGGGAGCCACCCCACAAAAACACGGAACACCACAAGACACATGTGTTCTTCCTCGTCAGACCGGGATCTACAGTGCCATCTCTTGCTTTATATTAAAAAAGCAAACCGATAAATAAAAATAAAATAAAATAACTATTAGGACAAGGCACATATTAACAAAAACCACAATTTGTACGATAAAACAGGAACTATAAAATCGCAAATCAATAAACTGTAAAATAAACTAATAGGCAGACCCCCAACTCAGTAATGCCACCAGTACATTCCAAATGCCTGCATGAAGAGTCAGGTTGTTATTGAGCGCTGAAAAGAAGCCGCCATTGGTGCCTCCTGGGCCTCTGGGGGAAGGGAGAGAATTCCAAGACTCTCTCCAACATCCCCACATAATGTATAGCTCCCAAGGAGCCCCTCCATGCAGGATAACTTAAATGTTCAGTCAGGACAATATAGGAATAGGAGTTCCTCAACTATCACGGTCCCAAGTGGTTTAGGCTTTGTACACCCTAGGCTCCACATACCTGCTGAAACCTCACAGCCTTCTACGAAGACCCCACCTAGGTGAGGCAGCACCCAATACCGACGTCGATATCGATCCTGCCCCAGGGATGAAGCCCGTAGCAGCTGTGAAGCATGGAGCAACTTCTTGCGGAAGAACATCTGGCGCTGCAGCAAGGAGGAGACCAGTAAGAGCACCGAGTGTTATAAAGTGTCTGTGCAAAGCTCTGGTTACCACAGCAAAGAGTAACACACCTCCCTGATTATTCTATTGACAATCCCCAATATACCCTTTTAAGTCTAGCTGCTACTACAGCTCCTTCCATTCCGTACTTGCTTATCTTTTCAAATACAAGCATTTACCTTGGAAAGCTTTTCAATTTGTCTCTCCAGCTCAGGCACACTGGAAACCGGAGTGTCATGCTGGGAAAGAAAGAAGATAACTTAGAGCCAAACCCTCATGTTTCCCAGCAAATCTAGACCAAATTGCTTTGGATACATTTAAAAAGGTGCTAGTAAGAAGAAAGTGGGAAGTGATGAGCAGAGGGGAGGATCCAGCTGCTGCAACTTATGAAGTTGCAAAATCCACTAAAAGACGGGGGGGGGGGGGAGGTCCCTCTTATTCTGCAAAAGGCAACACAGAGAATATAGACTCACTTCTTAAGACTCTTGCATCTTGCTAAAAGAACTGGTTGTTTTGACAAGCTTAGATCTGCCTCAACGTCCATGGCCAAGCATGATTTTTACCAAGGGTCACAGTACTTTGAATAATAATAATAATAATAATAATAATAATAATAATGTTTTCAAGGATGGTTGTGAATTTCTCTTGATTTTATTGTTTTATCTTTTTGCGAATCGCTTTGTTTTTTTGCAATCAAGCGGTGTATAAATTTTATGAAATAAATAAAATAAGTTGGTCCAACAGAGGTTATTGCTCAAACTGTCCTGCATCTCATGCCGTATGACCAACACTGCTCCCTCCAAGCCAGCACTTTGCTATTAGAACAGATATTCAGGGACACTGCATACACCCTTCTCAGTTTACTCGGTCACACCTTCACCTACCTCATTGTCTTTCCGAGTCCTGCATGCTCTGCTTCTCTCCTCCTCCATTTCCATGTCCTCATTCTCTTCATTGATGCGTGAGCTCCGCCGCCACCGCCCTTCCTCCAAGCCTGTGATTTCTGACTCGGGGCGTCCTGTCTTCTTGGCTAGAGCAATCTTTAACCTACAGTGCAACAACAAGGCACCAGTAAGGGAGAGAAAAGGGACACGATACATTACAGCAAGGGACTCTGGGATTGAGACTCAGGGCAAGTGTTATCCAGCTACTGCGCCTGCATGAGCTGATGCACAACTTCTAGCCATCTGGAATTATTTCCTTAGGTGACCCAAATAGCAAAGGGAGGAGATCCAGAAGGGAAATCCTCTGATAAATCCAAGAAGGTGGAAAATAAAACAATCAGTAATCACTTTGGCTCCTATAGTCACAGTAAGATTCCACACCACCAGAGGCTACTTGACTTAAATACATACAGTGGTACCTCGCAAGACGAATGCCTCACAAGACAAAAAACTCGCTAGACGAAAGGGTTTTTTGTTTTCTGAGCTGCTTCGCAAGACGATTTTCCCTATGGACTTGCTTCTCAAGACGGAAACGTCTTGCAAGTTTGTTTCCTTTTTCTTAACACCGTTAATACAGTTGCGACTTGACTTCGAGGAGCAACTCATAGAACGCGGTGTGGTAGCCTTTTTTGAGGTTATTAAAGACTTTGGTGATTTTTGAAGCTTTTCCAAAACTTTCCCGACACCGTGCTTCGCAAGACGAAAAAAATCGCAAGACGACAAAACTCGCGGAACGAATTAATTTCGTCTTGCGAGGCACCACTGTATAAGAGTGAAATGATCTCAGCCCTCTTCATCGAAGTGCCCCTCCTACACCCACTGAGCTTTCTGGTTACACTGGGTCAAAACTAAATCCTGGAATATGTACCTGCGCAGCTTTCCTTCAATGATCCATTTATTTCTCCTGTGGTTAGACATGTTCTCTAGGGTCTTGTCAATTTCACTGCAAGAGTTAAAAAAAAAATAGAAAGAGAAGTAGATTGGGGTAGAGTGTATATGACAGGAAGAGTTCAACTGCAGAGAATTGGAAAATATTCCCTTTTTATCAATATATGCACAATGCTCATTCAAGATCCATTACCCAGCCCATTACACATACACAGTCCTGTCTACAGGAGAATCTGCCAGCGGAAGAGTAAGGTAGCCACTCATTTCTTTGCAGACATGCAAAGCTTATGTAGGGAAATTTGGACGTCCAAGACTATTGCAATCTGTTGTTCCCAGTGGTATCTTCCCAGAAAACAATTTGTTCTCTGTTCAGCACGTTTTCTACACAAAGCCCAGGTGCAATCTGGGTGGCCACATGCTAGAGTGCACAAAACCATTTATCTATTTATTTAACAGCATTTTTACACCAATGTTCGGTCAAAAAATGCTCCCAGTGCAGCTTGCATAAAATCAACAATGAGCAAGGTAGTCCCTGCCTACAGCCTTGGAACCTTACTGTGGTCACTAAACATCTAAGATATGCTGAACCATCTAGCTCCTCTGCTTGCTTTCCTCTCTCAGCTCAATACAGTAAGATAGCAACATGGGGGAGGATGCCTCCCCATCCATATCTACGTATTATGAGCTCAGACTGTCACATACATATGGCCATGAGAGACACAACTCAGCAACTTGCCTGACCTATCGCCACTTACTTGATGATAAGGGCACTGCTGTTAAGTTCATTGACGAGGAAGGCCAGCACAGCAGCCTTTTTGTCAGGGGCTAGTGCCTGGAAGGGTTTAGTGCGCAAGCAGTCACATAGGTTCTCATCTGCCCCATAGGCTATGAGGAAGCAGCGAAGGATCTCAGACACAGTGTCACGGTTCAGGCTTATCTCAGAGAGTTTCTCGCCAAGGATCTTCAGCGACTGGCAGGAGAAAGGAGAGGACAATAATCAAGATGTGTCTGCCATGCCAACAGGAGCATCCTGCACAGCATTCAAGACTCTTTCAGAAAACTACTACCACCAAGCTTGTAGGAGAAAACTTCTACCACCAAGCCAAACCTCACTAGGGAGAGATCTGTTCATGACAATGGGGTGATAATTAGCCTCCTCCACCACCTTAATGTCAACTCTAAACTGTTTTGTTTTTTTAAATAATAGAACAAGAGTATGGCTGGCAATATGTGTTGGGTCCATAATGTATTGAGACTGCCCCACGGTTAGAACAATGGTTCTAAGCGAAACAGGCAAATGTGCTAATACGTCCAATTTGCAGGTTTTAGACTGCACACAATTTATCTTTTCTTGGCGCAGAATTTTGATTAAGCTGCCTCCCTCGACCCTTTAAAGTACAAGTTTACTTAGGGCTAGACAGAACTGATGGCAATAAGTAGAACAGATGCAAATAGATCACTGGGGAGGAAAAGAGCTATGAAGAGCCACAAAATCTCACACCATGGTCAATGAAGCCTCCCTCCAAGCTCCCTCTCATAAAAGTATTTAGCAGATAATTCCATGCAACTTTTAAGTTCTCCCTGAAACCTTGAATGCTAGAAGCATTCTTTTTTTTAAATAAAATAAAATGAAAAATTCTATTCTCAGGAACCTGCACTGCAAGCCATAGTCTGCCACTAGCAGCAGGCTTGCAGCTATAGCAAGCCAGGATCCCTGACAATGATGCTTCTTCCTGTCCTCCACAGGCAGCAATCTAGTCTACATCCTACTCACAAAGTAGATACAGGAAAAAAACCACAATAGTCAGGCCTGCATGTACACCACAATTCTCCGGGAGAACAGGAAACTTGCATAATGTGGTATTGGGTGCAGCTTCCTGAAACGCTCAGCTTTCATTTCAATTAAAAATATACAACATTTTTCTAGCTTTCTGAGCTTTTCGTTTGCATAAAAGTGTGTAGGCAATGCCTACTAACATCTCAGAAGAAAGAGGGCTTGTTGAAACAGATTCTCAGTGTTTGGGGCAGAGTTTCAGTGCTTTGCACAGTTTGCTGCCCTTCCTCATAGTGAACTCGGAATATGCAAAAATAAGAGAAATTGTGCAAATGTATTCAATTTTCCTTGGTGCAAAATTGGGGTTGTCTAAACACTCTCTCTCTCTCTCTCTCTCTCTCTCACACACACACACACACACACACACAGTTAACACACAGCTCTGATTATACCATTTAGAATATTCGGCAAGCACCAGACTACAACCCCATTCCCTTTTCGCACCAGTACTTCAGTCCATATGATTTCTTATATTCAAACATGCAGATTGATGTGACCCAGAACATACATACATACATGGGCTTACCTGGCAGAAGGGAGGCAGGCCAGGATCATACAGTGCAGCCTTCACCAGCTTCACCAGGAGGTCTAACACTTCACCCAAACTATCGCCTACATTGAAGAGGCCCTCTTGCAGGGTACTCAGACTGGGAACCTCCCTGGCTACATCAAAGCCCAGCACCTTGCCATAGTTGTGTAGGAATTCCACAATGGCTAAGCAGTCTGAGAAAGCATGGCTGGGCAAAACCAATCCAGGGATGCGAGAAAATTCTGGAAGAGGCTGGGAAAGACAAAATATCAGTAGAGAGCATCAGTACAGACTTGTGATCTAGCAGAATAGCTAGCCCTGCTCATACTGCAACTCAGCCACACGAAAGGCTGATAATATGCAGTGTCTAACAAGGTAGAAAATCACAGAACATTTTCCCAGTATGGAAAGCCTGCCAGCCCTCCAAAGCCAGATGCCCAGATTTCCCTGTCTCAAACTATATTAAATTCCACCAGGACAGATCGAGTCCATTCAGCAACATGAATAGATACAGAGGAGAACTAAAATGCCACAGAAAAATACTTTACTGTCTTAGTGAGATACAACTAAATAGCTCAGACAATCTTAGCCTTTTGGTGGAAGAACTAAATGAGCAACCCAGTAAATATATGACAGAACACTAAATCAGACGCTAAAATCTTATAATTGGCCATAGGTGACAGAACAATGTTGTGAGACAATCAAGTGTCTCAGTTGCGCAAATATAGGAAAGTACTGAAAGGTTCACATATTTAAACAAAAATGCATTGTTTGTTTAGTATTGGCACAATTAAGGAATCTGGTGCAGAAAACTGGCATCCTGAGATGTTAATGTCTGAGCCAGAGTCGCCGCCTCAGTTTCAGTGCCGGATATCATTTTGTGGTAAACCCAGAAGACCCGCTAAGCTGATGCTACACAACAAAATAGTGTTGCTTGGACGGGAATGTCTTGGTAAGAGATGAGGACTTTCATGTTACAATAAACACATAGCTGCTACAGGTTTGAAAATTTCCCCTTCATAATATTTGGAACAGCATGGTATAGGCATAGTGCACTGTTCTATGCTGCATTATTTGCTACTGTTAGCATGCGGCAGAGAAACATACCATACTGTGACTTCATAACACTGGCAAGCTCCTCTAGATATTAAGAGGTGAAGGTAGGAATTAAACATTCAACTGCTATTTTTAATAGTGGCTCTGCTTTTACGTATCATGTAATTCTAGCCAAAGCTGTAAGGTAAAGGTAAAGGTAAAGGTACCCTTGCCCGTACAGGCCAGTCTTGCCAGACTCTAGGGTTGTGCGCTCATCTCACTCTAGAGGCCGGGAGCCAGCGCTGTCCGCAGACATTTCCGGGTCACGTGGCCAGTGTGACAAGCTGCATCTGGCGAGCCAGCGCAGCACACGGAACGCCGTTTACCTTCCCGCTGGTAAGCGGTCCCTATTTATCTACTTGCACCCGAAGGTGCTTTCGAACTGCTAGGTTGGCAGGCGCTGGGACCGAACGATGGGAGCGCACCCCGCCGCGGGGATTCGAACCGCCGACCTTTCGATCGGCAAGTCCTAGGCGCTGAGGCTTTAACCCACAGCACCACCCGTGTCCCCTAGCCAAAGCTGTACAGGATAGTTAATAGTCTGGCAGACGTTTGAAGATAAGGAGACGCCTAGGGCTTCCTTCATCAGCTGGCAGGGCTTCAACTACCTACACAACTTTCTCTACCCACCTTTGCCCATGACTCTTCTTCCCCATCTCTACCCTTAATGCCAGTCCATCCCATCTTTTGTAAGATTGTCCAAACCATACTGCAACCAACCAACCAACCACCAACCAACCAACCAACCTCCAGACCCCCCAATCTCTCGCAATGCCAACAAAAATAAATAATTTTATAAAGGACGTACCCATGTGAGGCTGACACAAAAATCCCTGCACAAGCATTACGCAATAGATCATTATCCAATAAGATCATTATTCAATCAGATCATTATGTCCCCATCTCTCTCCCCTTTCCCCCCAATGCAATGCCTATGACAATAGTATTTCATACCGAAAATAACCAAACTGTGAAAAAGACACTGTGAATTGAAATTGGAGGCGCTATATGTTCTTTTCCATTCGGTTACAATACATTTTTTTTAAAAAAAAATAAAAACTGACTTAATTAATTAAATAAACAAACAAATGGAATAGGGGGCTGTCTCCCAACCTCTAAAAAGCCAAGCAATTCTATGCACCTGGTGGTCCCCTAGACACATATCTTCGGTGGGCTTCTTCATTTCCTCCAGAATCATTTGCTGCCGCTGTCGTTCTTCCTGACGCCGAGCTAGAAGATTCTTATCCACCTTTCGGGGAACCTTGGCTGCTGGTACTGGCAGCTTTTTTTCCTTGGGCTTCACTTTTTCTTTCAGCTTTGCCTTCTCCTTCAGCTTCTCTGGCTTATTCTTTTCTGGCTTGTTCTTTTCCTTCTTTACCTGGAGCGGAGGAGAGACATGGCAAGGTTTACATGCAATCATTCAGGACCTGCCAACCTTCCAACTTTTCAAAGGGCCATTCCTGACCCACCTTCGGCTTCTTCTTTACTTCCTTGGCCTTGACCTCTTTGGGCTTGAGTGCCTTGGCCTCTTGCCTCTGCTTATTTTGCACCTATGGAAAAAAATAAGCATGAGGAATTCTGTCAAGGAGAGAATCCACTCAAAAAGAAGAAACCTAAGGGGAAGGGAAAAGCCACTGCTCTGTCTTTACAGTAGTAGCTCCCAAAACATTTACTAGGAACATTTATCAATTAAAGTTTGACTGCTTTTCGGCTTAACTAGGAGATTCTTTTCCTATCTTTCATTAATTTATTTTCAATATTTATAGACTGCTTTTCACTATAAATGTGGTTTCCAAGTGCTTTACAAAGCAGTAAAGAAATGCATCACTGCACTGACAACACATCAGTCAAATAATAAAACAGGTGTTTTAAACAGTAAAATCCACAGGTACAAACCTAAAAGAAGTCTCACACAACTTACTTAAAATATCTAATTGAACAGAAAGCTCTTTGTTAAGAACCTGTAAGTTCAACAGAGAGGGGGCTTGTCTGATCTCAGCTAGGATGGGACTCCACAGAATTGGGCCCACAATAAACATGGCTCCTAGTGGATACCAGCTGAGCCAGGAGGGATCAATAACAGAGACTCCCCTGCTTATCTTGTGATCAGGCAGGGATATAAGGAATCAGGCTGTCCTTCAAGTATCCAGGACTCAAGTTGTTAAGGGCCTTGGAAATTAAGAAAAGAACCTTAAACTTGCCCAGAAATATACAAGCAGTCAGTGCAAACTTTTAAGGGCTGCAATTATGAACTGGTAGTGTGTCCCCACCAAGAGTTTAGCCACAACATTTTGCACTAGCTGGAGCTTCCAGCCAAGCCCAAGGGACAGACCCTTAATGCCCCACTCCACAGCTAACTAGGGTAGCATACATTCACACACTGCTTAGATTCACCACACAATCAATGGTGGGATTTGGCATTCTGAGCATCTCAGCTGTGAGTAAATGCTTCTATCCCTCATGGCTGTAGAGAAATGCCTAGAATCACACCGAATTAGTGGACAAGCACTGGGAAACTTATTCCTTGCTTTCCTGTCCCTAAAATACAAACCCGTGTAATTTTTTTCCTACATTCCACTATGCAATTCAAATTCTTTGCCAAAAAATAAATAAATCCATCCTTTTAAAATGTGAAAGCAGTGTTATGCCAACTGACTTGGACATATTCCAGACTTGGGTGCACAATTTGGAATGTTTGTCTTGGGGTACACACACATCCTTACTGGCAACTGAAGAAGGAAGCTCTCATCACCCACCCCCACCCCCACCTCACCCCTTCAGCTTGGGAAATGCTCCTTTCATCCCAAAAGCATCCCCCTCTTGCATAGGGAGAGAATACTGTGACCCCTTCCCACCAAGAATACACTGTCCTGTTCTACTGTATGTACCTTTTGCCTCATTTTCTTTTTGATCTTGCTCATCTTCAGCTTATCTTCATCACTGAGTACCTCTGCAAATACAAATGGAGAATGAGGAAATTTTTAAAAAATTGTGAGACTAGACCAGCCCACCATTCCATACCTAATAGTATCCTTATGCTTTATAGCAGGCTTCCCAAAGTTGGTGCCCTCCAGATTTTGGGAGCAAAACTCCATCCATGATGGATGATCAGGAATTAGAGGAGCTGTTGTCAAACAACATCTGAAGGGCACTAGGTGGGGTAAGACTACTTTACATAAGGTACCACTTCTCCAAAAGATGTAGACTTAGGATGATGTTCCTAAGATACACAAAAGGGGAGTGTGTCTCTATCTCAATTGTTAAAGTTTTATATCCTGCTCTAAAAATGCCTGTTGTTAATGACTGCAACCCTGAATGAGTATCCATAACCACAAAATCTCTCATTACTACCTGCTCTGCTATCAGTCTACGTAAGATCCCAAGATAAGACATAAACCAACATGTTCTCTTTAGAGTTTTGTCAACTGTACAGATACAGTTGACAGGAATCACCAAATCATCTCTCACCCCTGAAAGTCACCACTTCTCTCTCAGGCACACCGCTATAGATGGGAGGTCTGTGTTCAGGAAAGCAGCAGTCCTTCCTGTTTCCTCCTAGCCATAACCCATGTCTTTGAAAGGTAAGCAGAGAGAGCATTTTCCTCTCCCTGCCAACCCCTGCAGCCATACTGCCACTCAGAGGACCTGTCTGTTTATCTATCTGTCTGCCTGAATGTGTGTTGGGGCGAGGAGTAGGTCTGAATGTGTATGCATGCTGAGCGTGTGTACGTTTGTGTGAACGTACATGTGTAACTTGGCCACACACACTTCTGATCACATCCACTGCTGGCATGCAGCCCTCAAAGGGTTAGGAAAAGGTTAGCCAATGCTGACTAGAAGCTACTCATGATGCACCAGGATTGACCACAAGCTGTTTAAAGATTGCTTGCGTGCAACCCACATAGAATTCTAGTCATATTTCTACTTCTGAAACTCTCAGCTAGTCTTTAAAATATATATATATATAAAACACAAGTTTTTATCCCTCATTGCTGTGGAGACACAAAGAAAGCTAGGAAGACAATGTCTGCAAGTGCTTCCAATCCTCTAGGGCAGAGCTTTTATGCCATGTTTAGCTACCTGCCCCTCCCCTCAGTCTCCAGTCATGTTCTCTTACCTATATACTTTTACTGCCCCTTGCTTATCCGTTTCTCTCTTCCTGCTGCCACACCGCTCCTTGACAAGAAATTCCAAATTTTGCAAAAACTCAAACATTAGTTTCCAGAAAAGGCATGCAAATGGAGATTGATGTAAAATAAGCAGATTTGCATGCATCTTGTTGATATATGCTTTAGTTTTGAGAGCAAAAATTGAATTTTCTTGGCACACAGAATGAACAGCCCTGCCTCCAGAGACTGACAAACAACTCCTGCCACAAACTAAAGCTCTTTCTTGTGAAAGCTCCCGGCATGCAGAAAGGGCTTGTCCAGCTGGTACCTTGGGCTTCCAGTCTTTTCAGAACCCTGGCATCCATCTTGCTCAACAGGTCAGGCACTTTCACTTTGGGAGGACGGCCACGGCCACGTTTCACCTTGGGCATTTCCTTGGCCTTGGCTTTCTCAGTATTGCGGGGTCGGCCACGTTTGCCTGTGATGGCCTGGATCCGGGAAGGAATTTCCTCAGGCGTCAGCTGCACCCACTGCAGGCCCTGTGAAAGAAAGAAAGCGATACAGAAATAGATCCCTCCCAATCTCTACCAACTTCAACTGGTGCAGAGGTTTTCAGATTTTCCTCTTGCAAGAAAGAGTGATGCTTCCCAGTGGTGCTTCCTGTACACCCCAGTAAGTTCAGTCATTCCTGAACACAGATTCTAACTGATGTCAAGAAAGGGATTATGAGGTAGGGAAGAGGTTGGCAAACTCTTTCTTCACAGTTTACCAACCCATAGTGCCAAGGCCCTATGATGGCACAGGACCTGGTTTTGAAATGATGTCACAGGAATTGGAGAATGGAGCTATGCTGTCCTTGTGTCACAGTTATGAAACTGATAATAGGCACAGAAACATCTTGCGCCTTATAAAACTTCATTTGTATTGCTTCCCCTGAAGCACATGATCACCTACAGACAGCTGTAAACAAGATTGGTGCCAGTGATCCCTAGCAAACTCCTGGACTAACATCATTACTAACCTGGGGTGTATCTCGCTCTTCAAAGAAGTCTCCTACTGGCATTCGAGGACTGAAGCTGAAGTGTTCACGACAGACATTCTGCACAATGTTTCTGCTCAGATACTGGAAGGGAAGTAAATGACCAAAATATGAGCTGATCAGATACTGTGTAGCATCTAGTCTCTTACTAGGGAGGGGCTCTCTGAGGTGGACACCATGCCCTTTTGGTGGTAATGAGACTTGGTGAATCCATCTTGAGAATGAAAACGCACCCAAGAAATTCATGCTGGGTGTTGCCTAATGAAAGGGCTAATGCATTAACAAATAATTAACAAATAAGGCCACTGGTTGTCTGGTAGAAAGAAAGAGGGTGAAGCTGATTTCTGGATTGATGCTCTAAAGCAGAAATCACATTCAGCACAGTTAATAGTTCCCAAGCTCCAAGTGAAGGAAATGGGAGTGACTACCGTGAGTCATGTCTGAGAGGAAGGAACAAGGCTTGAAGCAGGGGGCAGGGGAAGAGATTGAAGAGTCACAGGCTATCTGAGGTGCAGGACCACCGAACAATAACAAAGAGAGATAGTCAAGTAGTGCTGATCCCCAGACTACTTTGCTTTCCAAACAGTTCTCTATACCAGTGGTTTTCAACCAGTACGCCGTGGCACCCTGGTGTGCCTTGAATGATGGTCAGGGATGCCGCGGGCAACACTGGCCTCTGTCCCTCTTTCCTTCCCTCCCTCCTCTGATGCTTTCTCACATCTCTGCCTCCCAAAGGCTTGTGCGGCTGTTTGCTGCATCAGCCCTGGCTACAAGTTCAGAAGGCGAATGGTGCCTCTGGGTCTGGCCAGGGGGTGCTGGTTGCCTGGAGCTGAGGCGGCCTCGGAGTAAGCAAGCAAGTTGGCAGGGGAGCCCAGCCAGCCAGCCAGCCCTTGCTGTTGGGAATGGGCAGACAAGTCCCAGGCCCCTGTGGGGCAATGTGAGGAGACACCTCTCTTTGGGGTGGGGTGGGGCAGCTCAGAGACCAGGGGCAGGGGCTGCCTGGAGGACTCCCAAGGAGAGGGGTGAGGAGAGGAGGCTGAGGGAACACTCCACAAGGGAATGTGTACAAAAAAGGCTGTCAGCTCTGCAGGCAAGGAGTCACATAACTGGGCTTCTGAGCCACACGGGAGTGCCACAAAAAGAATATAGTTGGTCAAGGGAGCCATGGCCTCAAAAAGGTTGGGAACCTCTGCTCCATACGGTATAAATGACAAAAGTTTATCAACTGTCACTACAAATATCATCTCAGTATCAAACTGCTGCTCCGCAGGGCTGACTGCCTCCATCAGATCCAAGGCAAGGAAGAATCCCATAGCAACTCAGCATCCTGTCTTCCTCTACCACTGGGGCACAGTAAAAACCAGAGTCCTGGTAGTTACATCAAATGTTTATTTTGCTTTATTTATGACTCACTTCCCATGAAACGTACCAGAGAGATTAACTATAAAAACAATTATAGGATTTCAAAGGCAAGTGAATCCACTCCTGTAGAAGGTCTCTTTGCCCTTGAATGAAGAAACAGGAACTGTGTCTAGGGAAAAGTGGCTCCCAGAAGAGCTCAAATCACCACCAATTCCCCTCTGAGAACTACACTTTACCTTTATCACCTCCGGAAACTGCTTCATCCTCTTGCCACAGGGCCCATAGTACCAGGTTTCTCCCTGCCAACGGCTGCTTCCCTTCTTGATATACACCTCCCTTCGCCACCTAAACATAAAGATGGCCTGTTAAAGACTAGATACATGCACTGTCCAATTCAAGGCACCATGCCTTGATCAGCACCTTTTACAAGGCAGAAACCCACCCCACCAAGCAGATGAGGCTACCTACCCATGCTTTAAGGGGTACCGCACCTCTTCTGCTGTGGCTATCCGCCTTCTTGGAACATCACCTGAGCAGAAAGAACTACTGTTACCAACACTAACAAGCACCGGCTAATGTTTTAAAATGCAGTCTAGGCAGCTGAGAGGTCTTCAGGAAATGGGTCTACTTACTTTTTGCTGATACACTGAATGTTGAGGCCTCTTTACTGTCCCCCTCTATCATGGATGTGGAGTCTTCTGGGCAACTGCTCTTGGTTACCTCTTCCAAGGGGGTATCTAGAGATTCTGGTTCAAGTGGTGCTTGTGAATCCAGAAATTCTGTGCCCTCTTGTCCTACTTCACTCACAGCTGTTAACTCCAGGCTGCTGTCTGCAGCAAAGAAGGCAAAAACAGGTAAATGGGGATGCAGAGAGGAAAATAATTATAATCTAGAAAAGCGAACAGATGAAGAAGAGTAGGAGTTAACAGTACTTAGTTATACATCTACCTACACACTTAAAAGAGTACTCACATAAATTACTCACTTTGCGCTAAGTCTGGGTTTGGAACCCCTGGCCTGTGGGTCAATCTTGGCCCATTAGGGGGTCCAATTTGACTTGTACCAACCCATCCATCAACTGATGACACTGGTGACATCAGCCGATGGGCAGGAGGTGAGGGTTTAATCCTGCCTTGGCTATGTGTTCTTTTCCCAGCATAGTTTTCCCTACTGTGCATTGTTTAAGACACTTCCAAACAGACTTCAAGGAAAGGAGGGGAGAAAACTGAAGGCCTCACCGTATATAAAAGAGACAAGTCATCTATGCATTCCAAATTTAACCAATTCCTTATCTTCTATACTGAAGTTACTCAAGGGTTAGCGCACATTTTCCATTCTATACTGTGGTTGCTATGAGATGCAAAGTCTACATGCACCTCAAAAAGTAGATATACAGCCTCTTCAATAATGGCTAATATATCTCAGTACAGTTTAATAACAATCTACTGGGCATTATCACAGCACCCCCCTCCAGGACATTATGAAGTTAAGATTATGATTATCCTCAGACAATGGAAGAAATTTAATCCCCATCTATACCAAAACAAAAACATAATCGCTGTACAGTGGTGCCTCGCAAGACGAAAAGAATCCGTTCCGCGATTCTCTTCGTCTAGCGGTTTTTTCGTCTTGTGAAGCAACCCCATTAGCGGCTAAGCGGATTAGTGCTATTAGCTAAAAGGCTATTAGCGGCTTAGCGGCTTTGAAAAAGGGGGGGAAAGCGGGGGGGGGGGAATGGCGAGACTCGCAAGACATTTTCGTCTTGCAAAGCAAGCCCATAGGGAAATTTGTCTTGCGAAGCGCATTGCAAACGGAAAACCCTTTCGTCTAGTGGGTTTTCCGTCTTGCGAGGCATTCGTCTTGCGGGGCACCACTGTATAACCCTTCATTTATACGTCTTCAAGTGAACATATGCTACAATGTTGTCAATAATTACAAGATAATTTATTACTAGAACACAGCCCACCAGGACTCTAGATTTCTTTCGTTACAACCCAGAAGAGTCAAACCATAAAATTTATGGTTCAATATTCCTCTAAACAAAGGGGCAGCTATGTCTCTTAGAAACTGTAGTCCTTTCTCACCTTGTAAAACAGACTCTTCAAGAACAGGCGCCAAACTGGCATTTCCAAAAAGTGAGGTGTCAGGCTGGCTGTCATCCGCCAATAGACTGAATGAGTCGGAAGGGTTGAGAGAGGGGCTGCCAGGAGAATCCAGGGCAGAGATGTCAGGAGGGTCCTCCAGAGGAGATTTGCCACTCACCAGCTCGGATGTATCCATTTCATAAAGATCTCCTGTCCCTGGGTCTGCAATTCATGAATCGGGAGACACATCTGTAGCTTACCATCCAACTCAGCAGCCTCACCCCCACAATAATCTCAGCTAGGATCACATGATCACTTACATGCTCTAGAGCACTTTTAATTTGCAAAGTGAGACTGGTCTTTAATACTACCCTTCTAAAGAGAGGGAGAAAAAGATTGCAACTTGGACAAGGCCAACCATGATTTACTAAGGATTTGAAATCCAGTCCAAGTTCAACTTTATAATCACTTGGTCACACTGGCTATGCAATTCTTTTTAGAAAGCCACCTTTTAAAAAAAGTAAAGTTAAGACAAGATAGAAAACCATGAGTGTCTGCTTGTTAATAATAGCATTTTTATAGCATACTTTATATCCTGCTCTGTAATCTCTACTACAGATGGAGCAGTATTATGTCCATATCACAGAGAGAAAACTGAAGCAGAGGGAATACAGGCACACCTAAGGCCAACAACACCTTAATGGCAGAAGGGGATTTTAACCAGGGACTTCCCAGTTCACATGATTATTCTCACACGGAGAAGGGAATTGCCTGCGGTTTCATGAAAGTGAAAACCAACACAGTAAATAGATTTCCCCAGTTCCTGGGAGAATTCTCAGAAATGTGGAAAAACAAGATTATAAATTGGATCATCTATATATGAAAAGGTATTAGAAAAACTGATGAGAAACACCTTCCTCATCAACTTTCATAAAATCTGATGTTTTTGTTTAGGAAAACAATGATGTTTTCATACCTCTTCCAATGTTGCAAACCTATTACTCAGGAAGGTGGATAAAGGAATAATATATCATTTTGAATTCAATTATCCTCAAGTGAGGTTGTAAATTGGGAAAGATGCTCAAGATGAAGGAATATATATGCCTTTATCAGTGTCAGCCACTTTCCTCATCTTAAGGGAGTTAAAATAATTAATTTGAGTGTTAATTGACTTTACAATGGATAAAAAGTTTAATAGCAAATACTGGAAAAGATGTGGTCAGGATAGTGGCTTATAAACACAAGGCAATGCATGATAATTGAAGCATGTGGGTATTAAAGCATGTTGGGGGACGGTGTTAAGAGCATGGTCAATTAACCTATATATTGATTAATTATTGGGATATTGTAAGTAATATATTTCCAGTAAATATATCTGATCCAAAATCTATTAGGAGCAACAAGAATTGTAATTTCATGGTAAAACAATAAATAATGAAGTTGTAACGACTGATAAATAATGGTAAGGATAGAGCTATTTAGGCCAATGAAGACAGAAGCTATTTTGAAGTTATTGGAATATGCATTGTGGACCTCAATTTATACATATAGCAGCGTGCATGCTCTTCTTGCTTTTGTGAAACTTGCAATATTTATTTTTCTTGGGTTATTCTGGATAAAGTTTAATAAAATTGATAGTATTAAAAATCTAATGGAGTTATATATAGACAGCTACAAGCATTCAGTTTGAATCTCTGGCTTAAAGTACTGCTGGAAAATAAGGATCCTGCAAGGAGGTGTTTATCTACCCTTAAGGCAACTTGCTTCCAAACACTAGTACAGTGGTACCTCAGGTTACATACGCTTCAGGTTACAGACTCCGCTAACCCAGAAATATTACCTCGGGTTAAGAACTTTGCTTCAGGATGAGAACAGAAATTGCGCTCCGGCGGTGCGGCAGCAGCAGGAGGCCCCATTAGCTAGAGTGGTGCTTCAGGTTAAGAACAGTTTCAGGTTAATAAAGGGCCTCCGGAACGAATTAAGTACGTAACCAGAGGTACCACTGTATTGGGATCAAAGGTCAGGTATGAAGTTTAAGTAGTGGGCCAAAATTGGAGTCAATGACTCTTCCTGTGCCAAACTTACGAGCCAGCTGTTCTCTTCAGGGTAGCCTATTTGCCACCTGTCTATTGTTTTATACAGCACAAACTGATCCCAAATCGCTATTTTGGGACTCTCAAAGTGTCCATTTGGCATTATGTAGAAATATAGCTCAAGAGGAAATTCAAAAGTGAGCATGTGCCTTTAGTACCATTAATGCTAGACCGGGGTCCCTACACTGATGAGTCTCCTATTTAATCCTATCAATGTTCTTGCTTTAGCAGCTAGCCACAATCATCAGTAAGATGGAGAAAGGGCAAACAGGCTTAGAACTTTTGCCCATAGCTGCCTAGGTTTAGAGGGCAAGTATCAAAAGGCACAAGGACAATGTTACTGCAGAGCCTGCACATCTGTAACAGCAGCAGCACATGCTCACACATGGGAGCTAGTTGCAGACAGCGCACAGAACACTTTGTGATCAGCAGAGAAGTTGCTACTGCCTGCATTTATACAGGCCTCAGGACAAACTATCTAGAGAAGCCCCTTATCCAGCAAACTCCATATAGCTGTCGCCATAACTGATGACTACATGGAAATGATGCAAAAGCAAAACCCCACCCCTTTACCTCTGTCCAGTGATTCGAATGGTTCCAAGGGGTCCTCCATTGGGGGAGGAATCCGAGACGCATCTTCCAGACAACCACCTCCAGCATCAGGTTCCAAGACAGAAGCTTCCTGGCTAAGAGGCTCACCAACAGGAGAAGGACCACTGTAGCCACATATTTTCAACTCTGCAAGAAATTTTTGTTTTTAAAAGCTAATATTATACTTTCCACATCATTAAAAAGTCAGCCATCATTTAGAACCAGAGAAGTTACGGAAATGAACAGAACATCACAAAACAACTAATCAGCATAGATGGCAAAGTCAAGTCAGGAACTTTTGCCTTTTGTGGAACAAAGTGTCTGATGATGTTGCTAAAGCAAATCAATAACGTATCACTCCATTGTACCTTGAAAGCTGCATCAGATAATGCCTTGTTGCTTGACAAAAGCACCCACTCTAAGAACAGCAAGCTCCAAGTCCATGAGGTACTTCTGGGATTGCAAAGCTTTTTGAGTTAAGGTTCACACGTACAGCTTATCTGTAGTCAGGGTCTTTTGACACTGAACCAAAGTAAGTTATTCTGCTGCTCAAACACACCTCAACCTCATTCCTCTTCAAAGCTGATATGTGACTTGTATTTGCCTGAGTTCACACCCTCATTATGCTTCCACAGGATTTTCCAAAAATCAATGAACACCACCAGTGTGGACTTGTCACTCTCGTCCCCCTTAACTGCAGGTGCCTTCTGGTAAAGGGCAATTCATGATCAGCACAGGGCCTATATGACTGAAACTCGCAGGTATAAACTTAGGTGGTGGTAGTGGCAAAGAAAATATTGCTTCTCTGCCACCTCTGCATTTTCAAGTAGCTGTCCAGCAGATTTTTTTCAGGTGGCAAACTGGCCTTTGAAATCTGGCCAGAGCAGGAAGGCAGCAAGACAGCTAGAGGCCTCCTAAAGACAAGTCTAATAGGAACTTTAAGTAGAAGGTTGTCTGGAATCACACTGAAGTAGACTCCATGGATAGGAATAGTCCAGGAGAAGCATCACCTCATATTAGCCTGCCCATGGACCAAGATCACCAGGGGAGGCTCTACGTGTGATTTCCCTGCTAGGCCAAGTTCAGGGGCAGTGATGCAACAGTGTCTTCTCTTTGGTGGGACTGCATGTCTGGAATGTCCTCCCTTACGAGTTACGTCATGCACCATTATTTGCTTTTTGCCAGCAGGTGAAGACAGACCTGTCCGCCTAGGCTTTGGGAGGGTTGGGGAGGATTAATATTGCGAGTCACCAATTTGAAATTTATTTGATAGCTTTAATGAAACAGGGATGTTGAATATTCCAATTATTAGTTTTAAATATTCTAGGTGCATTTGATTTTCGAGTAGTTATCTAGTATTTTAATGATGTATATATTTCCACCCTCGGGTAAGGACAAGTTATAAATATTGTAAATATACTTTTAAAAATCCAAGTGAAGCAGGCGTAATGATTCATTCTCTCCATCACTGCTCCCTTAGCTAGAACATGCAATAGGAGAACAACCATAAATTTCTGAACTGTGAAGAATTTTAACGGCACTTGACACAATGAGCAGGATCAGCAAATCTCCATCCTAAGATGCTCTTAGATAATTACATTGTAATAAGACTCTCAGTCTAGCAAAGGCCCTGCCTTTTACCATAGCCTAATGATTAATCCAGACATGAGTGTGTTCTGGGGCAGACAGGCAGGGGTATCATATTGCAAAGGTAAGCTTCCTGAATAAAAAGTTTGGGTACCATTGGCAGTCATACCTGGCTGTGTGTTTTCCAGCTCCATGCTGCCAATCAATCTGGTGCCATTTTCTGAGACTGCCGAGGTTGTTTCCTTCACTGGCTCCTCATTGCCTGGTTCATCCTGCTGTGGTGAGAAGTCCTGACTGCCAGAGCCAAGCATAGGGGAAGGTTGAGATGATGTGTAGAAGCTGGATGGGCCATTTTGCAGGATTTCAAAATTCTGATCATCAGGGAAAGAGTCATAGAGCTCTGTTGAATCAAAGTTAAGTCCCATGGTCCCTGGAGTGCCGTTTGCCCAGAACTCTTGCCCACTGCCACTTCCCCTCAGATTGGTGGTGTGCCCAGGTGAGCCTTGCCGATTGCCTCCAGCAATACCATTCGGTGGATACTGGGAGAACAGTGGGCTGTCCTTGAGGTTGTTGCCATTGCCAGATGGGTACTGAGAATAGTTCCAGAGATAGTCATAGGGGTGTTGGAGGTGTGAGTTGGTTGAGGAGCGGGTCCCTGAAGTACTAGCATGAGATACAGTAGATAAGCCATTAACATTCATATCTCCATTCAAACCTGTAAACAAAAGGAAGGGAAAAAGCTATTAAAAACTCACAACAAATGCAAGGAACACTGACTGAGGAGAAAGTTCTATCCACCTTTGGGCCTGTCTCTTTTTACAAAATAGGGGTGGGGGTGGGGAGATAAAACAAGACACAATGAAGTTGAGTAAACTGGATAAGAAATGTGTATTAGCATGTACTTTGAAAAAGATTTTTACAGTCTCTGTCCTCTTAACAGGCCTATGAGGTAGGTCACTATTCTGATTTTACAGAGGGGGCTCTGAGATTAATTCATCACACGGTCTGGGTTTAAGATCAGCCCAAGCCAACACTCTAGCATACCTCAAGATGGTTGAAGGGACTGAATGAAATAACCTCATGAACTTTGCCCTGAGCTCCTTGGAGGGTAGGCAAGGCAAAAACACACACGCAAACCTCAGTGCAACTACTTCTCTCATATGCAGAATTGAACCCATTCCCTTTTTTGCCAAATCCGCCCCCCCAAATTATTTCCTCCCCTTGCCTACTGATTTCTATTTTTTTTGCCACATTATCAAGTCATGTTTCTAAGTTTTTCTTGGTAACTACAAATGATAAAAGATGCATTAGCCTTTAACAAAGGTTGACATGCCCCCCTTTCTCCCCTCACCTCCCAATGTATGTAGTCTTTTCCACCTAGTAATGTCTTCAGTATGGGAAGAGCTGTAATCGGGATGTATTTTCTTTCTTGTCTTCTGGAAAAAGATGATGCTAATTTTGATCCGTTTCCATCCTTAATCAATGAGGACTGCAATGGCTGGGCTGACCTTTATAGTGCTACTATTTCTGGGGTGGCTGTATCTGTACTTATTCTAAAGGCAAAATAGGTGGTAGCAGCTAGGGACTGCAAACTAGACAGGGTCCTAACAGCCAAAACAGCAGAGGCCCACTGAGCAACAGAAGCAGCAACAGAAGTGGAGTGTTGGTCTGTTTTGAAGACCTTTACCCTATATGACCAGATAGACAGAATTCTAGAAAGGCTACCAGCTCCTTGAAAGCCAGTGGGGAGAACATTTCTCGATAAAGAAAATGGGGTAACCCTGTTTTATTTTTTGAGCCTAGGTGGAAAAGAGGGGATATGGGGGATGATGTCTTGGTCATTGATGTAAAGATTAGAACTACTATCAATCAAAGACAAAGCAGCATTTCCATGCTCTAGAAGGAAACTGAAAAGTGTTTCATCCTCCCATACTTGTATTCAGTAGGCATCTTAAGGAGAAAAAGGCAGCCAGGTTAGGCTCCTCTTTTGAGTTAGGGGGTGTCATAACCCAAGCAGACTCTCTCCTTCCAATGTAGCTAGAAAGATCTTCAACATCTATAAAGGGGGAGAGGAAAGGACAACACCATTTCCAACCCTCTCCTCCAAACAAGGAAAGTGAACCTAAAAAGGTGTTTTCCCCTGAAAACTCTTCAATTTACAGTTACCTTCTTTATTTCTTAAAGTGCCTTCTTAAAGAGTGGTCATATTCCAACATCTGTAAATTGGGAATGTTTTCAGGAATACACACTTTTACTTCAGCAGCTTTTGAGCTTTGCCTTAGGTTGTTGCTGTTTTTAAAGTATGTTCTCCAATTCCCAGCTCCTCTGTGCACTCTTTGTTAGTTTACAAGCAATAGCCTCACTTTAATATTCTGCCAAATTAATTAATTAAAATTAATAAACCTTTGGGAAGCAACACCACTACTGAAGAAATTATGCAAGGTCAGATAAAAACTGCCCACTGGGAAATGCCTTACACGGATTATCCTAAATCTTCACAAGCCCTTCCAAGCTTGCTTTAACTGAATTATAACATATTTGAAACAGCAACAACTCTTGAGCCCAGATACATGCAACTCAGCATGCTAGCAGAAACCAGCGCAAGGGCTTCCACAAGCGCAACAGGGCTTCCCCCCGCTTCCTCCCATATGCTCAAGAGCAGGGGTCAGCAACCTTTTTCAGCAGGGGGCCGGTCCACTGTCCCTCAGACCTTGTGGGGGGCTGGACTATATTTTTTTGGGGGGGAAATGAACAAATTCCTATGCCCCACAAATAACTCAGAGATGCATTTTAAATAAAAGGACACATTCTACTCATGTAAAAACATGCTGATTCCCAGAAGGCGATTGGGCCAGATCCGGCCCCTGGGCCTTAGTTTGCCTACCCATACTCAAGAGGGTCAGGAGAATCCCCAGAACAGAACACGGTGGGGGGAGGGGAGAATATTCCACCTAGCAAGAAGAAATGCTTGAACTGACAGAATGTTCAGAAGAGTGCAAAGTTGAATTCCTCCCATAAGTTCCATTCCCAGCAGGCAAACAGCACTCATCTGAGTTTTTATTCCATGACTAGCCTTAATTCTTTCTCCCACCTTTAACAGTAAGAAAGAAAATTTCAGATTTTCACATCATATCCAGTTGTGCTTTCACAGTGGCCTGTGAGAATACACACAACTTTGCCTGTTGCTGTGGTATTCAAATTCCTTACACTCCTCCTGAGGCACAACCATCATCCACACAGTTCTCCTTACCATTCTGCAAAGAGATACTCAGAAAAGAAGTGGAACCTCAATCTATAAAGGCAAGGGCTAGCAGTGTTTGCTATAAGACCATGTATGATCAATGCTGATGCCTGTCACTAAGGTCAAAAGACCCAGGTCCATTGCCCCACACTTACTTTTCCCTTGCTGAGGGAAGTTCATGGGAGATCCATTTGTGTAGACATTGTCCCCTGAGGAAGGCGCAGGTTTCTGTCCTGAGGCAGCAGGTGAAGAGGGAAGGCCAGTGAAATTAAAATGGTTGTTCGCCTCCATTTCTAAGGAGAAAAGAAAATGCAAAAGATGCAACAGAAAGTTAAAGTCATTACATAGATGCTGCTTTTCACAGGCAGCAGTGAAAAAATCCTCCAACATAGCATGTTAGCCAGTGACTGAACAAAAGATACCAAGACATTTAGTGTTTTATCACATCTTATCCCAATAATCCTTAAAACAAGATACAGTGGTACTTTGGTTTACAACCATAATCCATTCCAGAGGTCCATTTGTAAACCAAAACAGGTTGTAACCCAAGGCCCGCTTTCGCCAATGGGGCCTCCAAATTTTTTTTGTTCATAATCCAAAAAAAAAAAGGGGGGGTTGTAATCCAAAAAAAGTTTGCAAACTGGGACATGCACTTCCGGGCTTGATGTGTTTGTAATCCAAAACATATGCAAACCAGACTGTTTGCAAACCAAGGCACCACTGTATTGTAAGGTAAAACAATACTGTTATCCCCATATTGCAAATGGGGGGCAGGCTGAGAGAGAATGGCTTACCTATGGCCAGCCAGGTGGTGCACTAGTGATTTCCTGGCTAACACCTCAGTCTTGCAGCTACTATGCTACACTAGCTCTCAAAATTAGCAAGCAGGGCAGATGCTATACCAATAGGACAGTTAGTTTAATGTCCATATATTTAAAGCCATTGTGTCCCTTTTGATAAAACCCAGATTTTCATCAGCAACTGTGCAACTAAGTTCACCATTGACTGATCTCTGCCTCTTAGGAGAAAGGGAAATTTCCCCAAACACACAATGTAAGTCCTCACATTGAAAACCTTATAAGAAAAATATACCATATTTTTCTGTCTATAAGACACCCCCGTGTATAAGACGGGGACTCCGATTTAAGAAAATGGGGGGGGGGGAGATGGCCCAGAGTATAAGGCGCTCCCTAATTTTTGACATTATTTTTTAGGGGGGAAACCTAGTCTTATACATAGAAAAATACGGTATGTCATGAGGTGACCAGCAGCAACTATTTCAACTTATCTTGAATGGGGAAAGTTCAGCCAGGGGTTCTGAAATCCACTCAGGCACTCCATTCTAATAGCAGAATCTATTTAAACACATTTCTTTTGCAAGCTTCAGGGTTACTCTCACTCAGCTATCAAATAGCAATATGTCCACAGGATGGTTCTTAATATGTAGTTATAAAGTCCACTTGCCACACAAATAGGCCCCTAAAATGCTTTCCTTGAAGAGGAAACCTAAGGACCAAACAGTTCTGGAAAAGTGATTAAAAGGCTCCATTACTACTGAGAAAGAGGGATTCAGTGTATTAATGCAGAGCCGTTCCTGTTTTAAAAACATTTTACTGAGCAGGCTGACTGCAAAGTCCCAGCTCCTTCCATGGCTTTCTAGGCCTCATGCACTGCAAAGTAGTATGTGAAAATTCCTCATCAGATGATGCAAGCTTTACCAAAGCATCACCACCCCCGCCTAGCTAGTCATTTTCTCATTCCACAGGGATGCAGATGAACTTTCGCCTCTCTGCAGCTCTGGGAAAAAGCCACCATTTCCTGTTACAGAAATTAATGCACTAAATAGATGCACTGTTCAAAGAAACTGGATGAAAATAAAGCAGAGGGCATAATCTCTTGGCATGGGGCCTAGTCCATTCCCTGCGTGTCCAGTGGGACATCTGTGGCTCCCAAACATGGCATTCCTACCAGCTTCAAGCAGGACCTTTCCCTCCCCACCCCTTTGAAATAGAAGACTAAAGAGAAAATGCTCAAGGCAGGTCTGGACAGCTGCCAAGGAAGGCAACACATGGATGAATGAATGAGGATGGAGTTCAAGCTACAGATTCAGACCAGTCTGACAATATACATCTTCTGCATAAGTAAGCACGTAATCACAATAAGTCACCAAGGAAACTTCCTTACTAAAATAATTACGGCAGCCACAGTTTATATTACATCTTGAATCCAGAAGCTTTGCCATGAAGCCTCACTATTAAATAATACTTCTTCCACTCAAAGCTCAGAACAAACTTCAACAAACCTTTAATATGGTGTGGCATCCTATATATATATGAGTATGAACAGTAGAAAGAGATGACACTTGCACTTGGGCAACTCCTATGGAATAACCTAATATTAGGATACCCCTCAAAAATAATGATGGCACAGGTCCAGTTACTTAACAGGAGAGATGACACCAATCCTCTCAAACAGTTCACAGTCTGAGAACAAACACATTAAAAGGAAAGTCATGGGTATCTTTCCTCCCCCTCCTGTATTTGCTATTTGTTTCAAAAGTTTTACTGAACCTAGTACCTACTTCATAAATTATGGCACTAAGAACAGGTGCCCATCCTGTGTGCCTCCTCAAGACAGAACCAATACAGTGGTACCTCAGTTTACGAACTTAATCCGTTCTGGAAGTCCATTCTTAAACCAAAACTGTTCTTAAACAGAAGTGTGCTTTTCCTAATGAGGCCTCCCGTTGCCGGTGCCCTTCCACTGTTTGGATTCCATTCTTAGACCGAGGTAAAGTTCACAAGCCGGGACACGACTTCCGGTTTATGGAGTTCGTAAACCGAATCATTTGTAAACAGGACTGTTCTTAAACCGAGGTACCACTGTACCAGGAATGGATACCTGCCATGGTCAATGAACTGTCAAACCCCTCACACTGCTTATATGAAGGCTGCTGTGCCATAAGCATACAGTGAACATTAAGAATGACAGATAAAAGCTATATGGGGGGACGGGACAAAAGGGAAAATAACTGAAAGACTTTTAAGAAGAAAGCTACAGAGAAGAGGACAAAAACCACCTAGCACATTCCACAGAGAAATTTCCCCCTGCTACTGTAGTAGTAGGGACGCGGGTGGCGCTGTGGGTAAAACCTCAGCGCCTAGGACTTGCCGATCGTATGGTCGGTGGTCCCAGCTCCTGCCCACCTAGCAGTTTGAAAGCACTCTTAAGTGCAAGTAGATAAATAGGTACCGCTTTATAGCGGGAAGGTAAACGGCGTTTCCGTGTGCTGCACTGGTGCAGGCTCGCCAGAGCAGCTTCGTCACGCTGGCCATGTGACCCGGAAGTGTCTCCGGACAGCGCTGGCCCCCGGCCTCTTAAGCGAGATGGGTGCGCAACCCCAGAGTCGGTCACGACTGGCCCGTACGGGCAGGGGTACCTTTACCTTACTGTAGTAGTGGTTGAAAGAGAGCTAAGCAGTAGGGTGTGGGCTCCTCCTCTCTAGGCATGTGCATTCCTTCTGAGGGGTGGGCTCCATAGCCATAAAAGTTGTAGCCTTAACTCTAGAAGCGTCTCAATATTGCTTAAAACATACACCGTACCCCCCATCTGTATGCTTGGACAGAAAACAGGAAGAACAGCACCTTTCCAAATGCCCTTGCACAGGGACAGAGCTTAGAAATGCTTCACTGCCAGGAAGAAAAGTGCTAGTGACCAAAATGTAAAGTCAAAAAGTCATTTAGAGAGAAAAAAACAGAATGCAGAGCTGCTTCTTTTTCAGAATCTTTATTTCTGCCAAGCTGACATACTTAGATAATTGACCAGGTCAAAATCAATCACCCTGCCCTTTTCTCCACAGGAAGTAATCATTGTCAAAATCAAATTTATGTATCCAAACCAGGTGTAAAAATAAATAAACTAAATGTTAATGAAATATGCATTTCATCCATAGCTTCTGCTTCACTGCTTCAATCTCCCTCACATCACGAAGCTTCTCTCTCCCACACACACCTCTATTACTGCAATGTCATGCCAAGCTCCACCACCTAAACTGCAAGGCTTCTGTAGCTGCAGAGATGGGGGTGGGGAAAGGCTTCTACTAATAGCAGCAGGGAAAATGCCTTTCCCTCAACTCAATATGCACTGTCAGGAATCATCTCTGCAACGCACTAAGGCCACTATTCCACTTGCTGCTCCCCTTTCAAAAAGCAATGGATCCTACCCTGACAGTGCACAGCAGCTGAGTTGAACCATAAAATTACTGTGAATATCCCTTTAAGGGCCAGGGCAGTAGCAGAAAAGGCAGCTGCTGCTCCAGCACAGGGACAAGCAGAGCTGGAGCTGAGGTGAAGTGCTGGGAAGGCCTTGTAATTAAAGGGGAAGGCGGAATGGTTTGTTAGGAAAGACGCCAAGCAAAATGGATGAATTAATTGCAGCCAACAAGAACGACAGAAACAGTTTAAAGGGAAGGGGTGTGGTTTGACAGGAGCTGCACATGCCAGAATAACACAGAACAGCTGATATAGACAGAGGTCCTATTTGTAAATATCTCAGACCTATGTCTCTCATGTGATCCCAGCAGAAGCAGATGTTTCAAATGTATTAAAAGGATGGGAGCAGGGAATCCTATAGCCTGAGAAAGTGGCAAAGGATGAAACCATAGTCGTTCATTTCTCCCCGTGGGCAGGGCAAGTTGTTAATAGTATGTACAGATGGGTTACAGCCTTGTCGAGTCAGGGCCTCTTCTGTTTTTAACTATTCTTAGTGAATGGGTGTGGAGTTTGATGCATGCTCATGCTCTCCAGCCACAGAAATGAAACACTCCTGTCCTAATCATAAAATAAGACCTCCTGTCCTAAGCTGTCAAAATGTGCTTCAGACAATGCGGTCAGTCCTGCTTTGAAAGTCCTACCTCCATACTTCACCATAAAATGCTCTTTTTGCCCTAGCAGAAATTAACAACAAAAACCTTATTTTTTTTTACTCACATAAGTACTTCTCATGTAGAATTTCTTTTTCTTTTTACAGTAACGTATTTGTAAGACTACAAATTGGGAACAGGAGTTAAATTAGATGCACCATCTTATTAAAGTTTTCTTTTTATGAAAGAGGGAGGTTCTGGGTATGTTATGACATTTGTGAAAGATTACCATTGGCTGAGGCCAAGAAGAATCTAGAACCTTTTAACCAGTAACTGTTTTTCAGTTGTTGAGGACTGCCAAGTTCTATATCTGTGCAATGCAACCAAGCCCCTGTAAACACAAAAATGTCTTAAAAGGTATGGGGAGCCTGTGGCTCTCTTGATGTTGTTCAACTCTGGCTCCTATCAACCCCGGGCAGCATGGACAACATTTAAGGATGAAGAGAGTTGTAGATCAACAACTTTAGGAAGGTCACAAGCAATGCCCCACCATCTGTGCTTTAAAATATGGGCCACGTGATTTAATTTGCAGGAAATCAAAGATGAAAAGGGATCATGGATAGACTTCTTTTAGGAAGGCTGCCATAATTTACCTCTCAATGACAATATATCTGTTAGTAACCTTACACTGTTTGGTTTTCCATGGTTATGTTGCTTCACTTGAAATCCAACAAAAAGGAAAGGGAGAATGCTCTGTGAATGCAACCAAGAATGACCCACTAACAAATACCTCAGGATAAATGGCGTACTCTAGGCAAATCATAAAATAAGTGTATACTTGAGAACTATATGTGACACGTATGAAGATTATTTGTGGGGCATAGGAATTTGTTCATTTCTCCCCCCCCCAAAGAAAAATATAGTCCTACCCCCCCCCCAAGGTCTGAGGGACAGTGGACTGGCCCCCTGCTGAAAAAGTTTGCTGACCCCTGCTTTGTAGCTTCCCGTTTTGCTAAGTTAGAATATATATGACTGCCTCTTTAAATTCCATGTAACTTTAAAAAGAAGGTGGTGATAACCCTAAACTACAGGATCTTGTGCCAACTGGCTGCTGGGGAATAGGGCTAATCTAGCCAAGGAGTTTAGGGAAAGCCAGAAACAGAAACCAAATCTGATTAAAAAGGACATTTCAGAAAGCAACAAACACAGCTGCCATTTCCCGGCCAGTTCCTGCAAGGTTGGGGGAGGGAGCAGAGGAAAGAGGGCTGTTTGCATCGAGATGCTGTAAGCAGGGGAAGAGACAGCTCTGGTCTCCCACTCACCTCGCTGCCACCGGGGATTCCCTATGCCCACACCCCACCTCCACACATACACAAAGGGCTCTCTCAGCCCTAACCATCATCCAGCCAAACCACATTTGCAGCCTCCCTCAGGGTACTAAGATCTTGGCCTCTCAACTTCCGAAATACATGGAAGACTGCCATCAGAAATTGCCCCATACCACCTACATACAAATAACACTTCCTGTACACATGCTAAACCACCAGTATCAGAAACAATCTTTGAAGGGGACCCACACTAACTAGAAAATCCTTCCGGTGCCCAATATGAAAACAAGGGCAAACCCAAATTTCGGAGCCATAATCCCAGATTATAATCTCCACCCACAAAGCAGAATTCCTGGGTTTTCTTCCACAGACTTGTCATAAAGGCATTTCTGTCTCCAAACACCAGCCCTGTTCAGGATATTAATGGCTTGTGTATGTGCTAATAAGATTCCCAGGTACCTGCATCCTTGTTTACAAACCATTCTCTCCATAAGCGGCATCACCAAATTTAGAGATCCCTAAAGGGAAGCCAGGATTCCCGGGTCACGTCCCTACTCCCAGCAAGGGAGCGACCTTTTCTCGTCGATCTAGTGGGATCCTTAGCGAAGCCCACAGATCCCATCTTCCCACAGCCTTATCTCCCCAGACTCAAGGACCTGCAGCCCTCCTCGCCGCCATGGAAGAAGAGCTGGAGCGCAGGGAGCGGCCGCGCAAAACTGGCCGCCACTCTTTCGAGGCCAACTAAGGGCACCCGACAAAACGTTCAGGGCGCCTTTCCCCCAACTTCCAAGTGGAGTTAAAACACATCCAATTCCCACCTCCTATACACTAAGCCGCAACGCCAACGCCGCCGCCATTCTTCTCCGGGAGCAAAACCCCAAACGCTTCCAGCCCAAAGGCCAGGCCTTGCCCTTCTTCAGTTCGCCTGCGGAGGTGAGCGAAGCGGCGGCCACGCTCCCCTCGCTCGACGCTGCCGCTACCGGGACTCGCCAGCCTCCTCCTCCTCCCCCTCGACTACCGCGCCATGCCGGGCTGGGGAAGACGGGAGCCCCGCCGCATCGCCGTGAGGGCGAGAGCCGGCGCCCCGCGGGGCCTGCTCCCAACTCCAGCCCGTCGTCGTCGTCGTCGTCCCCACACGACTCCTGAGAGAAGTTGGCGCGGCGCTTCGAACACGCGCAGCCCCCGGGAGGCGCTATGTCTTCGGCAACGGGCTTCTCCTCCCCCCACCGAAGGAGCCTCTTTTCTCCTCAGGGCTTTTGGGGTGGGGGGGAGGGGAAGGGGGGAGGAGGAGGCCCCCTGTCTCACCCCAAAGCGGGAGGGCTTCGTGTCCTCCCTCACACTCCCTCGCCTTCCTCTCCTGACTAGGCCTTCGCCCCTCACTTCGGGAGAGCGGAATGAGGGAAACCAACCGCCGCCGGCCGCCCTCCCCCACCTACGATGAAACTTGCTTCGCTCCCTCTCCCCCCCCCCACCACCTCACAACGACTCGGGCCAAACTTCTCTCGGCTCCCCCTCAGGGGCCACGTCTTTCTCATACGCACCTTCCCTCCCCCCCCCGCCGCCGTCCGCATTTTGGTTCAGCCCCACGCATTACTCTCCTCTCTTTCCTCACCCCACCCCCACCCCTCGCGCGCGCACCTCGCACTCCGGACGCCTCACCTGAGGGAGGTGTCAGCCGGCTCTTCACATGGCCCCGCCGCGCTGAGGGAAAGGTCGGACCCGGCGCCGCAGCATGGCCTGCGGGAAAGGGTGGGCGGCGGCGGCGGCGGCCACCGGCTGAGGCTGGTGCGAGGGGAGGAGGGTGGCGCAGGCCGAAGCCGCACCAGGCGAGGCCGTCGTCGTCGTCGTCTCTGGCCAGGAAGCCGAGCTCAGCCAACGAACGAGCGAAGGAGCGAGCGCCGGGGCGAGCGTCGTCGGCTGAGGCGCCTCGCCGCCGGGTCCTAGCGCCCACCGCCGCCGCCGTGACCGCGCCAAGGCTTGACCCGGCAAACACCGCCGCTGAGGAGAGGAAGGGGAGGGGGAGCGAGCGGGGTTCCTCGGCGGGAGACCCTCCAAATAAACAAACCCGTAACCAGATGCTCAAAGGCGTAGCGGGTAAAGTTGGCTGCGGGAGCGGAGGGAAAGCCCTGCAAAAGGAGTGGGTGGAATTGGGAGAAAAAGACCTCTTCCTCTTCTGACACCGTGCAACTCAGCTCCGGGCGAAAGGGATGCCCACGTTTCGTATGGAAGAGGAGGATCCGGGTTCGATTCCCGGCCTCTCCAGTAGGGTTGGGAAAGAAGAAGAAGAGCCTCCTGCCTTCGACTATCTCAAGGGCTGGCCACGTGGGGAAAGGTAACAAGCTTGTTGTCTCCTGCTCTTCTCGAGGGTAGGACTCGAACCCGCGGCTCCAAGTTGCAAGGAAGGAGAGAGGATACCAGGAAGAACTTTCTGGCAGGAAGATCTGTTGGACAGTGGAATGGTCTGCCACGGGAGGTTGTGGGCTCTCCTTCCTTGGAGGTTATAAAGCAAGAGGTTGGGTGGCCAAGAGTCATGGATGCTTTAGCTGAGATTCCTGCTTTGCAGTGGGTTGGACTAGATGACCCTCCGGGGTCTGCAAAATCTACAATTCTATGAAACCCTGCGGAGAGCCATTGCCACTCGGAGGAGCAGGCAAAACCAACCAATCGGGCCTGGCTCAGTACAGTGGTACCTCGGGTAACATACGCTTCAGGTTACATACGCTTCAGGTTACAGACTCCGCTAACCCAGAAATAGTGATTCAGGTTAAGAACTTTGCTTCAGGATAAGAACAGAAACTGTGCTCCGGCAGCACAGAGGCAGCAGGAGGCCCCATTAGCTAAAGTGGTGCTTCAGGTTAAGAACAGTTTCAGGTTAAGAACGGACCTCCGGAACGAATTAAGTACTTAACCCGAGGTACCACTGTATATGGTTGCTTCCTCCTGCCCTTTGAAAATGTCTTATCCTTCAAGTCAGGGGTGGCTAACCCCTGTTGCTGAGCTGCAATACTAGACCCCCCAGGGCAAGGGAGTAAATGGAATGGGGTGATGGGAGTTGTAGTCCAGCAACATCTGGAGGGCAACAAGTGAGCCACCCTTGAGCTGAATGCACACCATATGTTTAAAGAATCCTAGGTACTGTTGCTCACCCCTCATAGAGCTACAATTCCCAGCACCCTTAACAAACTACAGTTCCCAGGATTCTTGGGGTGAGTGTCCTTTAAATGTATGATATGCACACAAGCTTGATTTAAGCATTTGTATGCCACCTTTCTGGGCTAGCGTCCTCTCATTCCATGCTAGGGTGGGACGGGAGCGGTTAAGGATAGGCACACTGTACCTGCTCTGTTACTACACAGGTTTGCCATCTGCATTCACATTACTTGGTGAACAACACAGCAGCTGTTGCAATGATTTGCATGTGTGAGTGAACCATCACTGGTTAAACGCTACTCATATATATACTTTAAACACAGCAATCTTAGTGCAGAGGCTAGACTAGAGGGTTGGCTTTTTCAGAACCCAAACCTGGCCTTTAGCTTGGGATTAACCTAATGCAAATGTGCTTTATGGGGATAAAAACAGGGAGAAGCCATGTAAACACTAAAGATACGGTTGCAAATCAAACTGTCAAATGATGAGAAAGCAAATGATGTGCTCCAGCTCTCAGTTTCTCTCTGTTGTTAACTTCACCTGTTCAACGGCCGCATCCTGGCATTCTGTAAACAAGTTTCAGGGCAAAACCCTAGTTTGATGTGGAGAGTCTACAGCAGGGGTGGGGAACACATAGTCCACATTGGTGGACTCCAGCTCCTAGCACGCATGCACAATGGTCAGGTTTAGTGAGAATTGTAGCCCACAGGTTCCTCATTTCTGGTCTAGTTGAGAGGGAGGAGCAGTGATTTTTAATTTTTTTGAGTGAGGCATGGTTGATGGAGGGGGACAATGCTAAAGCAATGAGGGAGGGAGAGCCTGATTACATGACAATAGTAGCTTCTCGTTTTTTAGATGTATGACTGCGGGATTTGTGTCAGCATGCACAGTGGCTAGGAAGATGGGAGTAAGGATGCTGTAGTGTAGAAGGCTCATATTGCTGCTGTGTTGTTGCTGCTGGAATGGCATTTACTAGGATTGTGGTCACCTAGTGGCAAGTGGCAAGACTCTTGAGAGTCCCATGGACTGCAAGAAGATCAAACCTCTCCATTCTTAAGGAAATCAGCCCTGAGTGCTCACTGGAAGGACAGATCCTGAAAGCTGAGGCTCCAATACTTTGGCCACCTCATGAGAAGAGAAGACTCCCTGGAAAAGACCCTGATGTTGGGAAAGATGGAGGGCACAAGGAGAAGGGGACGACAGAGGACAAGATGGTTGGATAGTGTTCTCGAAGCTACGAACATGAGTTTGACCAAACTGTGGGAGGCAGTGGAAGACAGGAGGGCCTGGTGTGTTCTGGTCCATGGGGTCAGGAAGAGTCGGACACGACTAAACAACAACAAATGCTGACCAACACTAAAGAAAGATTCCTTAATTCAAAGGAGCAACAAGACTAAAAGGAAGATGATTGATACTTATAAAATTAGAGGAATGACCCAGCTCCTTGTTTTGCCCACAGATGGCAACAAAGCGAGATAGATTAATTAATTAAATTTACAGCCCACCTTTCCTTGATACCAATACCAGGGCAGGTCACACTCCAAAATAAATTACAACAACCAAGTCAATTAAAAAGCAAATTCATCAAAATACAAAACAGGTGCAGCTAAAAAACCAACAACCCAGCGAAGGCTAAAATGATCACCCACTAAAGAGTTAAGATAATTAAGATACCTGAGCAAACAAATGCTGTGAATTGACACAATAGCAATGTCAGCACCTGTTGTACTTGTGAGGAGGGCATTCCACAGACCATGGAGAAGGTTCCACCTCTTAAGGCACATAGGAAAGAGCCTCCTTAAAGCAAAGGGGGGGGTGTCCCAAGGGAAGGCATGCTTTTCGATGCCATTGCACTGAAATAAATGGGAGGCTCTCGTGTGGGAGGGTAGAGGGAAAGCCAGAGAGAGCCCAGGATGAGAACCTTTGACTGCTAAGAGACCTATTTCTGGGGTCATTGTGGAAATATAGAAATGGGTGTTAAACAACTTGCCAGACAATCTGCAAGGTGGAAGTGTAGTGACAGGTTGTTCAGCAGAGGCACATGAGGGATGTTCATTTTAAAAAACTGATGGAGGAAAGAAATTCCACAAGATAGGCCTTTTGATGCAATGAGGATGAAGGTGTAGTTACCAAGTTACAGGGGTCAGCACCCCGAGTCCAAAAAAAATACAATGAGGAAGAATTTCTGTAGGCTGGTGATGGAGCACGCTACATATTATTAGTTCTTTGGGCTGATTCTTCAGCTCAGGAGTTATAACATTATCTTTTGCTGCCCTATAAGCGCCATCTCTGAATGTGACCAAGAAAAAAAACTGTTTTTGTGCCTGTCTCCCCTAAAATGTACACTCACCATGGGCTTGGCAGTTCCATCAGCATATATTTGTCTCAGCAAACTTTTCTAAAGGTGAATGAGATATTATTTGTTCCACTCCTCTCACTACACTGGTACCTTGGGTTACATACGCTTCAGGTTACAGACTCCGCTAACCCAGAAATAGTGCTTCAGGTTAAGAACTTTGCTTCAGGATATACAATGTTAGACGATGAGCAATTAAATAGTCCCGAGATGGTATGTGTGATGTTGTTGGGGCCAGTAAAGGTGTTGTCTGGGTGTATGTGGCAGCAAAGTTGGCATCTGGGTTTATTGCAGGCTCTGGTGCCAGACTACAACCAGACTTAACACGGACACTGGCACCAGAGCCTGCAATAAACCCAGATGCCAACTTTGCTGCCACATACATCCGGACAACACCATTACTGGCCCCAACAACATCACACATACCATCTCGGGACTATTTAATTGCTCATCGTCTAACATTGTATATGCCATCAAATGCCAACAGTGTCCTTCAGCTCTCTATATTGGACAAACAGGCCAAACCTTACGCCAAAGAATAAACGGACATAAATCTGACATCAAGAATCACAAGACAGAGAAACCAGTAGGAGAACACTTCAATCTCCCAGGACATTCTATACAAGATCTCAAAGTAGCTGTTTTACTACAAAGGAATTTCAGAAATAGACTGGAAAGAGAAGCTGCTGAATTGCAACTTATTACCAAACTTAAAACCATGGAGAGACCTGGTCTGAACAAAGACATTGGATTCTTATCTCATTATACATGACAAAGCCATTTTTCACCTTCTCACCCCTTGCTTTTTCCTGTAAGACCTATTGCAGTCCTTAAGAGTCGTCAACAGGCTCATCACAGCTATCTGCCAATCACCCATTCCCACCACCCTTCTGAGTAATACCCCTCCCCACCTTCTCACTATATAGAAGGATCTGGCAACTTCTGTTTCAGTGTATCTGAAGAAGTGTGCATGCACACGAAAGCTCATACCAAGAACTAACTTAGTTGGTCTTTAAGGTGCTACTGGAAGGAATTTTGTTTTGTTTTGACTATGGCAGACCAACACGGGCTACCTATCTGTAAATGTATCAAACTGTAGCTGTGGGAAAGACATATGGGGGAAAGTGTCTAAATTTCGTGCTACGAAAGGTCAAGTCTCTCAACCATGTGCAATTTCCTCCAATATGTTGTTGGTTTTCCTTTCTTTTCTTTTCTGGCTGCTTATATCCCCTTAGTGCTTCAACCTTTTGAA